CCTAATAAAGACCTAAGTGAAATAAGATATAGAGGATTAAATGTTAATGGTTATGATGTTACTTTTTCTCCTTCACATTCTTCGAAATCTACTTTATGTATTGTTTTTAGTTATTGGAGAAATAGGAGTTTTAGCCTAACTAAATATTTATCAACAAACAATAATATTTTAGTAAAATTAAATTATGATAAATCAAACAATAAAGTAACTTTAACTGTTAATAAAACAACTCAAAATTTTACCATGCCAAGTAGTTTTAATGCAAAAATAATTGTTGTATGGTTAACAGAAAATTTTGATACAAATGTCACAAAAGCTTCAATAAGTAACTACAGCTCAACATTAACTATACCAGCCGTTCATGACAATGTTAATCAACGTTGGAAGTTTATAACTGAAGATGGAGTGATAAGAAGGTTAATGTTTTCTCCAAACTTTTACGACACTGACTCTGAGCAATTTCACAAAGTAATGCTTCAAGAAAAGTTAAGTGGATCTTATATAGAGTAAATATAAATGAAGGATATTTTTGAATTCAATCACATTGATAAATCTCTGTCAGAATCAGACGTCACAACTCTCAAAGACTTTTACAAACATTATCACAAGAAATACTGGTGTTTTAAGCGGTCTTATAAGAGTTATAAATTTCTTGATGATGTTTTTAGTATTTCTGGAATATGCCTGGTGTCAATAGGAACTATTGCTGGTGGAATAACTCTAAACCCTGTTGTTCTCGGAGTTGTAAATGGTGTTGGAGTTGTTGTGGCGGGAATTGGAAAGAAAAAGAATTACAAAAGAAAAATTGAAATGTCAAGGATTGCATTTACTACTTATGAAAAAGTACTCGTTGAACTCCGTGCAGCTCTTCGGGGTGATGAGTGGAATAAACAAGATTTTGTTGATCGTATGAAACTAATAGATGAAATGATAATTGATCAGACTCCTATAGCAGATAGATTTGCTAGTAGGTATGGTAAAAAATTTAATTTAATTATATAGTAGAATGGGCCACTTTGAAAAATTTGAAAATCAATTAATTAGTTCTTATGAATCAACTTTAGCTGTAGAAGGAAGAGAAATATGTGAAGAAGTTGATTCTATACTTGAAGATGATATTGACTTAATAAGGGAAAAAGCTATTGCTTATTGTTTTCTTTGCAAATATTTAAAAAAAGATGCTATTGATAAAAATTTATTTAATAGATTTAAAAAGTATTTAGTTGATATGAGAAACTATAATAATATCAAAAATACTTTAAGAGATATTTCAGAATCAAGAAAAATTGTTTAAAGAATAAATATTTGAAGTTGTTGATTTCGATACTAAATTAGTATTGAAATCTAATCTAAATAATCATAAGTATATTTTTTTTTATTTTTCTTTGAAGTAGCTGTTTTAGCTTTTTTCCTACAAATATCAGAAATATGAGCAGCATTAATATCTAATTGAATCGCGGCTTCTTTAATAGAAATAAATCTTTTATTCTCCCCATTTTCAATATTTATAGAAATAATTGACCTATCATTACTTTTTCCAGAATTTTGTCTAGGAGTAAGTAGTTGTAAATTTTTGATTCTATTGTCTGTCTTAATATTATTTATGTGGTCAACTTCAAAACATTTTGGAATTGGTCCTCTGAAAACCTCATGAACAAAACGATGTTAATGTTGAAGATATGTAAAAGGTTTTTCAAGTTTTTTATTGTAAATTGTAAAAAGTAAATAACTATTATCTCTATTTTTTATATTCATAATTCTTTTAGTTTTTACATTTATAACATCTCCATCTTTGGAAGCTGCATAATTAGTAAAAACACGATGTTTGTAGTATTTTACTCCATCAATTATTACTCTTTGTTTTATTCTTGAATCAATCATCTTATAATAACCATATTTGCGAAGAGATGGGAGCACTTTAGCAAAAATCCATTCTCTAAATATTTTTGCAGATGGTAACCTAGATTTAAAAACTAATTCGTAAAATCCTGCTTCATCGATAAAAATACAATATTTTCCTCTAGTATCATTTTGTTGACCGCCCGTTTCAGGCGGGCAACTTTTTTGATCTTTAATTACCTGACACCCTGAAATGGGGTGGCAACTAAAAAGAAAAGTTCTTTTATGATTTTCACTTACATGTCTCTTTATAGCATGTTCTGTATTTTTATATTCTAATATTTGAGCAACTTCTTTTGCTTTGAACCAAACCCTACATTTGTGATCAATGTATGATTTGAACTTAATTCCAAGTTGATAATTGAGAAAAGTTTTTTAAATCATTTTATATCTAAACATAATATAGAAAATGATTAAATCAATTGTAGCTTATGTAAATTTCTACTTTCCTACATATAAAACACAATTTTATTCAGATAATTTCATAAAAGCTTGTCTTGTTTACCAGTTTCTCTATGTAAAGTATTTTACACAAAAACTAGAAATAGAGCAAATTATCTATAGATTAACAGAAGCAAAACATTACCTAAATTCAAATTCAAATATTATTTCAAATCATTTAATATTTAGTCTCGCTTTTAGAGCTTTCTGGAAACATTATAGAATTGGTAGAGGATGCGTATATGCAATCAACACACCATTTAAAGAATGTGAAGTACTTGGTTATCTAACTGGAATTATTTACTGGTGCTTTCACAGAGGAGTGATTTGTAAGCGTCCCACCACTTTTCATAATTCTCCAGAGTTTGATTAGAAATCTTTAAATAAACTAGTTTACTCTTTTCACAACAGGCAGGTACAAAAGTCGGACCGGATCAACTCGGACCGCCAGTCCGGGTCGGATCGACTCGGATCGACTCAGACCAACTCGGATCGGATCGAACAAAAATAAAATAAAATAAAATAAAATTGGACTCAGATCAACTCGGATCAACAAAAAATAAAATAATTAAATTAGCAAAACTGAAAATTTAACCCATTTGGAGGGTAAAAAGGACAGATAATCCTTTTTTCTACGTGGCTTTCAGCCGCCATTTTTTTTTACTACTGCCAGTTCCTCTCGGATCATGTTACGAACTGGTGGTTGCGTTACACGAAGCGCGTTCTGTTTCAAGGACACAGATATGGATGTCCTCGAGGAAGGTAAAATCTCGACCATTTATTCATTCCAAAGAAAATGATAGTTTCAGTCGCCTAGAGTGTATATGTTTGCTTATTTTAGTGTACTGAATTATTTATGGGAAAAGCAGCAAAAGCCTGGTCTGTTGATCGCATTGAGACAGTAACCGAAGAGTGCTGGTTTGTTTGTTCCTGTTTGCTTTTTTCTGCAGGACTTCTGAAACTTAATTTTAATGATACACTAGTGAGCAGCACATTCATTTCCAGTGAACATGTTCAACTTGGGTGGAGAAACCATGCTCGCCCAGGACAAAGGAAATTTCCAAGCCCTAGTCGAGAATCGAACTCGCGACCCTCCGGTGCAGTGGTTGGAACGTCCGATAAACATGTAGTATTCGGAGGGTCGTGAGTTCAATTCTCGCCCTGGGTACGAAAATTTTCGTTGTCCCGGGCGAGCATGGTTTCTCCTCCTTCCAAGTTGAAAAGGTTCACTGGAAGTGTATGTGTGATGCTCACTAGTGTGTCATTAAAATTAATAAAAATAAAAATAAAATTTATTTACCCAACCACGAGTTCGTGAGAAAAAAAAACAAAATGGCGGGTGAAAGGTAAGTGATGCCGACTGATTTTAGTTTTCTTTTTATGATCCGAGTTTATCCGAGTCCAATTTTATTTCATTTTAATTTTTTTATTCGATCCGAGTTGGTCCGAGTCGATCCGAGTTGATCCGACCCGGACTGGCGGTCCGAGTTGATCCGGTCCGACTTTTGTACCTGCCTTTTCACAACCCATTTCTTCCAAAAGTTTTTTGATTAAATAAAAAATGCTTATCATTCTCTTTCTACAAAATTGTTTGTTTAATATTTCCATTACGTGGTTATCTATATTCATTAGTTTACTGTACAGTTCACACTTTTCATCATCAGTTAGATGTAGTCTTCTGGAAACTTGATCAACCTTTTTCTCATAGTGGTACTTTCTCTGATAAATACTCTTCTTTCGAAAATGAAATCGATCGTATTCTTTTAAGTCAAAATAACCAAGAACATGACCATTAGTTGTCCCACAAGAATCACAAATATTATAACCTGAATCAATAACAAAACTATCACTTTGACAATTATTACATCTAACTTTTTTATTTTCTTTCTCTTCTGAATAAGAGTAACTTCTTAATATTTCTAAATATTTTTCTATCTCTTCTTTTGTGTAAGTCATTTATTATTTATATCTTATTATCTTAAAGCAAGAGTTTTTACTTTGCCCTCTAAGACCGTTCTTTTGTCATCTTCATTACTCAGAGCTATTTTATTGACTTCTTTTGAGTAAATATCATGATTTTCACTTCTTATAATTTTCATAGATCTCATTTGCTTTTCACCAGAAAATAAACAATGAACATAGTCTTCAAATTCTATTCCCTTTTTTACAACATTTTTCTTTATACCTTTACATTTACGAACTTCTTTACTTTCCTCTATTTTGAAACTATAAAGCTTGGGTCGCAATCCAACAAAACAAGTAATCTGTTTTCCTGCTACTTCATCTTTAAACATACCAATAACTTTTTTGTTAACTCCTGTCAATATACCAGATGGGTGATCAGGAGGATAATCAGATGTGTCAAACTTGGCTTCTATATCATAGGATATATCTTTGTAAAAATCATCTGTATGAATCTGATACATTAAGCTATCAGTATCTGTAAACAATAACTCAGCCCTGTTTTTGTGCTCCTTCGTCGCAGGGTATTTCTTTTTAATATAGTTGTAATGAAAATCAAACATTAATGTTTTTGACAGATCAAGTATTGCTTGTCCAACATATACTGGTTTGTTAAAATACACTTCCGTTTTTTTCATATGAACTGCAATAAGATTTTAATCAAATATTGTTGCTCTATCAAAGTTTGGACGACTTGTTTATTTTAAAGCTTTCTTACGATCATCAACTAAAAATATATTTTGTCTTTTTCTTATGTTTTCTATTGTTTTTCCAAATACCGAATTATTCATTAATTTAAAAAAGTCTTTCTCAAAACTATTGGCTGCTGTTTTTCTAAGTTCTGTATTCTTTCTTATGTAAGGTTCCATCCAAGAACTCTGATAAAATGATATTCCTCTGTGAACAGCAGTTATTCTCATTCCCATCTCAAGATATTGCCTAAGATTTCGATAATGTACAACATAGTTTTTTCGTGGTTTAAAATGACAAATTAGTTTTTCAACACCATTAACAATCATTTTTTCAGGTGCTAGAGGATAGTCATTATGTGATTTCCATAAAACAGGAGGGTATTCCAAATCTACTTCAAATATATATCCTTTTCTTCCAAGATTTGACATACTATGATTTGCTTTCTCCAGTATGTCCATTACAGTTTCTTTTGTTAAATCTCTTATCCATTTAAATCCATGTGTGGGAAGTGATTGTGACATTGCCCATCCGTAAAGATTGTTTGCATCAAGATATTGAATATAAGTAGACTCCACATCAAGCCTATAATCTTTCATGTATTTATTATTCGCTTCTGTATATCTTTTTGATATGTGAGATATTCCACCACGAATTCCTTTTTCAAACATCATCAACATATCATAATCATGTAGTAACTGTAATTCCTGACCTGTTTCTTTGAGACACGCATCCCAAGCTAGCCCAGGAGATGTGTAGTAATGTGCTGGATCCAGATTGTAATGGTAAAGACAAGTTTTTCTAAAGTTTTCAAATACATCTGACAAAAGTAGGACATCAGACTTTAGGTATAGATCATGATAATCTCTAATTGTTTTACATTCAAAAGTATTCCAGACATTAATAGCATGTTGATAATCATCATCAGTTATGTCTTCATCATTTAGTTTTGAATAAAAGGAGTCTTTTGGGGGTAATTGTGTTTCAGATAGTTTTTCCATTGAGGAAACATAGTCATATGGATAAACTCCCTTACGAGTTAGTAGATCTACATTTTCACTAAATATTTCTTTTGTATTATTAAAATCATCTGGTTGTAGATTTGAAACAAGATTAGCAAGACTTGTTTGAAGAAACCTGAATGAATCAATAAATCGTATTTCAAAATATAATGGAATCATTTCTCCATTGCGTCTAGATTTATACTCATCAACCTTAATCTTTTTGGAAAAGGAGATATACTTTTCTTCTGTCGATGGAATACAGTTTAACTCACCTGGTAAACAAGCAAGTTGTTTTATAAACAAATGTGCATCATAGCCTTGAAGATTGTGAAATATAACTGCAAGAATCATTGGTTTTCGACACTGTAGATTGCAACTGTTATGAGCAGCTCCACGGTACTGACCAGTAAAATGACAATGATCTCTAACTTTGTCAGACAGTAATTCTTTCTTACAAATATGACAAATTTCCGCTTCATCAAATGATTTTTGTTCGGCGTGTGTTAGTCTAAGAGGTATTAGACGACGATAGAAATCATTATATATCTTATTAGTTACTTTTGCAATTTTAGAAACAAATATTTTAGAAATATCATCACTGTCTTTGGTTTTTGTGTAAGTAATTGGTTCAAATTTTATACCAGGAACTATTCCTTTTATATAAAAACAAAATCCTGATGGTTCATGCTTTTGGTAATTGTAATTATACGATTCTTTTGGATTAGGGCTGCAAGTATTCATTGGTTTAGTAAAACATTCAAAATCCGCATAAACTACAAAAGGGATTGGAAGTTGTTTGTAGTAATTTTTAAAACCTAACATTGTGTTTTGTGGTGGCATTTTTACAGCCACTGTTTCATTATTTGAACAATATAAAATATATTTTTGTAATAATTCATACTTAGTAAAATGAGTAAAGCATTTTTTACAAATATAAAATAAACCATTTTTACTTGAAGTTATTTGTGATTTAATCAAACGAGTAAAACTTTTAATTAGTGAATAGTGGGAAACACCATCTTGTTCATAGAAAAACAAGTCAATAGTATTTAGGCAGTGAATAAAACGATTTCTTGCATAAATCAACTGTATTTACGAAACATAAACATGATGAACAAACTACAAGAATTTTACAACGCAAGCGAAAAAACACATGTCGAAAAAACTAAAGGGGGGTCCGAGCCCCTGAAGACTAACTTAGGGCCTAGTTCCCACGCGTCCGAACAATCTAACAGAATATAAAATTTCAGTTCCGAACATCCTCCCGCCCGATGCAGGGAGTGCATCTTCAAATTGATCAATAATTTTCCCATCAAGTTCAATAATTGTCAAAGTTCCTTTGGCAGTTCAATCAAGTTCAGCAGCTAGATCAGCATCACAGGCTTCAAAAAGGTGTAGCCGCTGTACTGGACGACGTGTAAGACTTCCAGATGTCAATCGCAAGGTAACTGATCGGATAAGACCATCACGACCAGGATGGGTGGCTTCCACGCGCGCACGTTTCCACTGACCTCGAGCTAAGTTATCTTCGCTAACAAGGACCAAGTCACCTTTATGTATCTCGCGACCAACTGTAAACCATTTCTTGAGGGGTATCAAAGACTTCAGGTACTCAGCATGCCAACGCTTCCAAAATCCATTGACAAGCTTTTGATGATACTGAAAACGTTTAGTGATGGCTCTAGAAGTGTGTTCCGAAACACGAGTGTCCTTAGCTGGAGACGCTTGAAGATTTCTCCCAATGAGAATCTGAGCAGGGGTAATCACGCTGTAGTCCCCAGGGTCTGCACTAAGGTAAGTAAGAGGACGACTGTTTAGCTGTGCCTCGATTTCAGCTAAAATGGTGGTCAGCTGTTCAGCATCCAACATTGCTTTGGCAAAGATTTTCTTCAGAGGTGTCTTGACACTCTTCACAAGACGTTCATAAAACCCACCCCACCATGGGGATCTCTCCACGATATGCTTCCACTGAATCTTCCTTTCAGACAATGCGACTTGAGTTTTGTCAGCTTCAAGTACTCTCCAGCATTGCTGCAAATGTTTATTAGCACTCTTGAATGTTTTGGCATTATCTGACCAAATAATACTGCACATTCCTCTTCTTGCCACCATTCGTCTTAAGGCAAGGAGAAACCGCTCCGCAGTCATGTTGCTCACTAACTCTAAGTGTATTGCACGGGTAACTGCACAGGTAAATAGACAGATGTAAGCCTTTTCGCCACTGTCTTTTAAAAACAATGGACCAGCAAAGTCCAAACCAACATTAGTAAATGGCGGTGCAGGTTTGATCCTGTCTTCAGGAAGTGGTGCCATCTTCTGTATAAATGGCTTTGTGTGGTAATGGCGACAAACTAGGCAGTTCTTTACTGTCTGGCGGACTGTTGATCTTCCTTTGATCAACCAAAATTTCTGTCGTAGGACTGATAAAGTACACTCAACGCCAGCATGGAGTTCACGGCAGTGAACATCTTCAATCAGGAGCTTCACAACAGGATGGTTGGAAGGCAAGATAATGGGATGCTTCTCCTCTTCGGGTAATGAAGACTTATGAATTCTTCCTCCAACGCGAAGTAAGCCACTAGTAGGGCACAGAAATGGATTTAAATTTGCTAGCTTACTGTCCTTCAAGGGACCACCATGTTTAGCCAACGAAGCTACTTCGTCAAAACTTGTTTTCTGTACATGGGCTATCAGCCATTCTTCTGCCTCTCGTATCTCTAGTCCAGTTAAAGGAGTTGAAAGTCTCTCTTCTTCTTTCAACTTCGAGTTGCGAATGAATCTTCTGATCCATGCAACAGTTCTTAACAATCGACTGTACTTGCTGAACCTGGTGTAGTCAATAAACGGTTCTCTAGTTTGGACAACACAGCTGCCAATAGCTTTACTCTTCCTCTCCACTTGTACTGCTTCATTTGGAGACTTGGATCTTAAATCCTCTGGCCAATCCTTTTCTAACTCTTGCAACCAAGAGGGCCCCTTCCACCACAACTGACTCTCTCTAAGCTGGCTGACAGATAAGCCTCGGCTAGGTAGATCTGCTGGATTATGCGACCCTGGGCAATATCTCCAAACACTAGGATCCAACAGCGACTGAATTTCCATGACACGGTTAGCAACAAATGGTTTCCACTGTGAGGCTGATCCTCTGATCCAGTGTAAGGTGGAAGAATTGTCTGTCCAACAGACAATGCGGCTAATAGGACAGTCAATTGCATCTTTAACATAGATACACAGTCGAGCAGTTATCACTGCAGCCATTAGCTCCAAGCGAGGGAGACTAATTTTTCGCACAGGAGCAACTCTTGTCTTAGACATCACAAGGCTTGTAGACGCCTTCCCTTCTTTAGGAACAACTCTGATATAGATGGCGGTGGCATACGCAACTTCTGATGCGTCACCAAATGCGTGTAACTCCACCTTTGCATGCTGGCTTAAAGGCCAATCAATGTAACTTCTTGGAATGTGAAGCTGTTCAAGCTCTGAAAGCTCTTGAACCCACTGAACCCACTTCCTAGAGGTTTCTTCAGGTAACTCATCATCCCAACCAACACCCTGGGTCCACAGACTCTGAAGCAAAAGTTTTGACCTTACTGTAAAAGGCGAGATGAGACCAATCGGATCGAAGATCTTTGCTGCTAAAGAAGCTAGTTCTCTCTTAGTGTACAATGTCTCTGATTTCAATTTCAGAGAGTCCAATTCAATCATAAAGACAAGGCTGTCTGTTTTCGTATTCCACTTTAGACCTAAAGCTTTCGTAACTGGATGCATTCCCGGTAGTTCACTCTCCAATCTGATCAAACTATCTGATGCTCTATCTTTCTCAGGAATGGCTTGCATAACCTCAGGCGAATTGCTGGACCATTTTGTCAAATTGAAAGCTGCTTTCTCCATAAGCTGTTTTGAACTTTGCTGTAACCTCACGGCTTCACGTACAGTATCTTTCCCTGAGGCAAAGTCGTCAACATAAGTGTTCCTCAGAATTTCATCTGAAGCTTCAGGGAATGTTTCTTTCCATCTCCTTGCGTGCTCTTGAGTGGTACAGATGGCAAGGAATGGACTAGAAATAACTCCAAAAGTAACTCTTGACATTCGATAAATCTTAGGTGTGGCATCAGGGTCCAAATCTCTCCACAGGAAGCGATGTGAATCCCTATCTTCTTCTTTCAAGCCAATCTGTAAGAACATCTTTTCAACATCACCCATGATCCCCACCTGATTCTTTCTGAAGCGCAGAAGAATTCCGACCAAATCAGGGTGCAATGCAGGGCCCGCTTCTAAGCAGCTATTTAGCGACACACCATTTAAATCTCTCGCGGATGCATCAAATACAACCCTCGTCTTAGTTGTTTGCTTATCTTCTCGGATAACAGCATGATGTGGAAGGTAAAACACAGGACGCCCATCTGCTGGTGCATACTGCTCATAGGGTACCTCTTCTGCTACTCCGTCCTCCACATACTTATTAATGGCCTCTTGGTAGGACTTGGCTTTGGATGGATCTTGGAGCAGATTCCTCTCCAGATTATACAGCCTACTTCTTGCTTGCTTGTAATTGTCTTTCAGTACAACTTGCTCATCTTTCCATGGCAATGAGACTTCATACCGACCATTCTTGTATGCTAATGTCTCTTTAAACTTCTTTAAGACTGTACTTTCACTTTGGCTGGTGGAAACTGACATTTCAACAGGTGTAATACCAATGGACTCCAAGTTCCAGAACTTCTGAAGTGTATCATTTAGTTCTTGGTTAGCACAAACTTGAACACTCATAGACACTGTGCAATCTTGGCCATGACCACCCGTTGGTCCACAGAAGACCCAACCTAAGGATGTACGAAGTGCCACTGGTTCATTAGGACCACCTCTCACAACATCTCTGGATACAAAGGAATAATAGAAATCCAAGCCAATGAGAACATCAATCTCTTGTTCGTTTCGGGGAAACTTCTCTGGAAACTTTATATCTTGAAGATGAGGCCACTTGGTAGGATAAACATCCACAGCATCAGCTGGACGGCATATAACTGGAGCAGTTAGTGCCTCAAGACCTTGCGGCTTTCCAGGATCGCTGACCGGTGCTAGCGTAAAGGAAATTCTCTTTCGCAAAGTGTCCCTAGCAGATTTTCTTCCAAAACCCGAGACTGCGATTCTCACGGTCTCCCCATCAAGACCAAGCTCTTCAACCACACTCTGTTGGACAAAGGACGTTTGGGAGCCGGGATCAAAGAAACATCTGACAATCTTTTTGCAACCATTGGATCCACAAAGGACAGCAGGAACAGTCTGCAGGATCACCTTCCCACCTGAATTAACTGCAATGGAACTTGCTACTATGGAAGACGACGAAGGAGGAGTTGCAGATGAGGATGGTGGCTCAGAGGACTTTGAATTGGCTTCTTCTGGCTGAGACTTGACTGGTTCCAAGTGCAGGAGACTGTGATGTTTACCACGGCAGTATTTACAGAGTGGTTTTTGACAAACTTCAGCTCTGTGACCCGATTCAAGGCACCGAAAACACAGTCCTTTGGATACCGCTTTTCTAAATCTTTCTTTAACTGGCAATGACAGGAAACTGATGCACGACCACACCCAATGGTTTTTACCACAAATGATGCACACACGCCCTTGAGTTGTCGTGCACAAGGCAGAGGTAGAGTACTTTCGAGACTTGGAATGGGCTCCATGATTCCAACTGTTTTCCTGTGCAGGGGACTTCGATTGAAGAGAGGGAGGCTGGGAGGACTCCTTAGCTCTTATTAACTGTTCTAAGAAGGCAAACAATGTTTTCACTTTCACATAGTCCTCTTTATGGTCACCAATTTCTAATTCCCACTTCTCCACAACCTTTTTCGGTAACTTGTCAACAATTAAAGGCACGAGAACAGGCGCTAAGGTCTCGGAACGGAACTTCTCTCCCATTGATTCAACAGAACGAACATGACCAACTACTTGATCATAAAATTTACGCATGGACAATGCATCTTCAGAATTCAACTGTGGCAAATGAATTAGGGACCTTATGTGTGCATCAAGAATCAACCGCGGATGGCCAAATCGTTCCTTCAGAGACTCTAATACTGGCTGATAATTCTCTTGTATGACTGCAAACCCTTTAACCGCTTCGGCAGCTGAACCTTTCAATGATCTCATTAGGTATTCTAATTTCTGAACATCAGCTAAAGATGGATTATCCACCACTGAGACTTTAATTGACTGATAATAAGACTGCCAGCTTAAAACATCCCCATCAAATGTTGGCAGATCAATCTTTGGAAGCTTCACTTGTACCTTGGGGCCTAACGATAGCGGCGCCTGGGCTGCAGTTGAATTACTTCCCGCGCTTTCCTTTCCGACATGTTTACTTTCTAGGTAATGCATCATTTTCGCCATGTATTCAATGACACGCAATTCGTACTCGTTATGACTCACACATTCTTCGTCAATCTCTTTCTCTTCCAATAGAGTACACATTGAGGCCTGAACTTCTTGAAGATCGTTCCATTTATTTGCAATGTTATCTTTCAAAACCTGAATTCTAGCATGGTTATCGGGGATTGACAGAGCTTCGTCGATAGACTTCAAGGTGTCCGTCACGGACTTTCTAAGAAAACGTCTTTTCTTCTTAATAGCCTCCAGGTCATTCACCATTTTCATACACAATCTCCACTAACCTTGAATGACAGTTTCGTTCATTAAAACACTCCAAAATTTCTGCAAAGTTCACAAGAGATAATGGCGCCAATCGCCGCACTGCCAAGACCAACTTGACCAAATTCTTCACCACAAACGGAGGTCCAATTCTCAATTCTCCGCTGTTATCTTCAAATACTCGCCGACACTGTAGATCCGGCTACCGAAGGACCATGAATAAAACGATTTCTTGCATAAATCAACTGTATTTACGAAACATAAACATGATGAACAAACTACAAGAATTTTACAACGCAAGCGAAAAAAAACATGTCGAAAAAACTAAAGGGGGGTCCGAGCCCCTGAAGACTAACTTAGGGCCTAGTTCCCACGCGTCCGAACAATCTAACAGAATATAAAATTTCAGTTCCGAACAGGCAGTCTTTCTCTGCCATTCTTAAAGGATAAAACTTTTTGTTTTCATTAACTGAAAAAACATTTATTCCTGGAAGAGATGGGTTAAGTTTTTCAAATTTGGAAATATGTTTTAATTTCATAGGAAAATTAATTCCTTTGGTGTTAAGAGAATTATCATACTTCTTTAAATCTGTTAATCGGGTATCATTTTTATCTCTTGGATGAAGATATCTAAGTATACACCAAAGAAAGCATTTCTCATCTTTGTTTTCAATATTAACTATTGCTTTTTTATCTGATATCCAATCTGGAAGAGGAATATAAGATGACCCCTTCATTACTCCATTCTTAACAGTATGAATTTCAAGTTGAACCACTTCTTTAAAATACCATCCACTTCCATTTTTTTGAAATATCTCTAAATCTTCAATAATTTTTTTTACACACTTATCAATTAATTTCTCTACATCTGTTGATTCAAGATTAATATGTGTACCTGAGTTAAAGTATGCTTTATCTTCATTTAATCCAACAACTCCCTTATCTTTACTAAGTACTTGTTGTTCCATTAAACAAACCAAAATCATACTAAATTTAATATTTCGATGATATGTAAAAAAGTCTTTTAAAGTTGCATAAATTTTATTAAAATATTCAATTGGAGTAAGACCAGGATCTCCTTCAATAATATACTTAACAGCAAAGTTTTCAAAAGCTGATTTTTCTTTTACAAGTCCTTGATGATATTCCTTAATAGCTCTCTCAAGAGCTTCACGAAAATAAGGAGGAGTATCTGCGAGGAATTCTTTATTTTCTATACATTCTTGAAAATATTCTTCAAACGTTTTTATTTTATGAACACCTTTAGGTTTGGATTTTTTAGGTTTTTTTATATCAATTCCTTTTCGTACTTTTTCTCTAGCTTCTTTTAATTTTTTACATTGTTTAATTAATTTTCTTCTTTCACCTAATTCTTTATAATCTTTCTTAAGTCCTTCTTTTCCTTCTTCTATTATATGTCTTATTTCATCCAAAGATAAATTCTGAAATTGTTTATCATTTATAAAGGGTTGAGAACCCTGAAAACCATCAGTTGATTGGTTAGACATGACGTCTTTTAATCTTATAATTAGATTAGAAGACTTTAAGCTATTATTTAATCACTATCACTATCATTATATCTATAACAATAATCATCGTCACTATCACTATCCAAATAATTAAGACTATTTTTAAAATCACTAAAAGTCATTTCTTCTATTTTTATTTTATCTTTAAATTTACTAAAACTTTCAAAAAACTCTTTTAAACCTGAATTATCATTTTCATACTTTTCCTGATCAAACTTATAACTATCTGGATCGTAAAATAAATCCATATAATCATCTAATTGTAATTCTAAAGACTCAATAAATTTAACATCACTCTCTTTAAAATATAAATCACTAATATCATTAAGATATTCTAATTCTTGTGCTTTCAAAAATTTATTAAAATAAAAAGTACGTTTATTAGCTTGTGGGCTATTAAATATTTCTCCTTCTAAAATATCAAATGTTTCTAATTCTGAAACTAATATATCTACAAATTTTTCACATGACTTATCAATTCCTCTTATAAAAAGATATTCATTTTTATAATCCCTTGCATAATCTGGGATTTTAGATTTACTTAGGATTGAGTTAGAATCCCGGACAGATTGAGGTAGGATACCCATTTTACTAACTACTACTTAAACATAGCATTGTTGAACGTATTTTAGTATTCAAAAGGTAGATATAGGCATATTTTTATCCCCTAAAAATATTTCATCTGTTCGGATTTCCTGGCTGAAAGTCTAGTGATCCGAAAATAATAGGGATCAAAACTTACCTTTTCGAAAATTTCAGCCAGATAAAAGGCTCCCGAAAATTCTAGGTGACCTTTTAGGGTAAAAATCCGTTAAAAATGGGCAATAATACCAGTTTTGGGGGGTTCGAAAATCCTAGGAGATGCAGGCAAGAAAGAAATTTTACAACAAATGTTCCGAAAATTCTAGATCTCAAATCGTCTTCCGAACAGATGTTTTCCAAAAATTGCCGTTGGGTGCCCCTGTCTCGATCGAGTTAGGAGTTCTTAAAAATTTACGTTTTCAAAAGAAATCAACGAGAAAGTAAACATCATACCTCGATCGATAATGCAGACTTCTACATGCAGCAGATTACAGGAAACACTCTGAAATCATTGCTAGTGAACTGTAGTCTAAAAACATAAAAATATAAGGGAAAATTAAAAGTATTATAAACAATGCGCTCATACACGCAACCTCTCTTAATGAATTTCACGATTTGTGAAAATCCTGATATTACTTTAACACTCGATTGCTCTAAGAAAAGGCAAATTTTATGCAAAGTCAGAGGTCAACTTAACCAAAGTTAAATTTCTATTTGAGAATTTTATAGATCAGAAAATGCGTACAGAAGGACACCGATCGATTATGCATGCAGCTACAGAGGCTGCTCTGTTTAAATTATCCTTTCATTATTAAAAACCATAAGAATGTAGAAAGTACCTCTTTCCAAGTGCAAATGTTTACAGCGTTAAACTAAAGAGAAAAAAAAACTAACTTATTTCAGCTGCAAAGGAGGTTTGAAGGAAGTCGTACGAAGTGTGCGAAGCGTCTCTAAAGTGTAGCCTAAGTATTGTGAAGTAACCAAGGAGATTTGCTAGGCTCTAAACGAAGAAATATAATTTTAATACGCATTGTGATCGCAAGAATACGTAGCTAGCAAAAAGGGGCAAAGTACAACTCCAAACAAAATCTGCCCTGAAGCAAGTGAGCTCTAAATTTATTAGACTATAAGTAGATGAAAATCTAAAACAAACCTTGACTCTCGTGATTTGGTTAACTCTTGGATGAAGTCGGAAGAGAAAACGAAGCTCAGAGGTGATTTTGCTTAGAGCCAACTAACGCGATTCTTTCCTATGAAAGAAGAAGTCACTGATTATGCCTAAAAGAAATCATTTTCCATTTCTATATAGAAGGGGTTTAGGTTGATTTGTTTTAAGAAGACTCTTAATATGACAATGGAATACGACATCGTTACGCAAATTGTAACTACATCAGTTCGTTTGGTTATATTTTGTTTTTGCTGTATTTAAGGTCAACACACGACGCTTTCGTTAACATCAAACCTTCACGAGTTCAATGATGAGGTTTCTCTTTTTTGACAAATTCCTTTCAAGCTTGAAATAAACTCAGTGTAAATTCGCTGTGACACTGAAGGCGGAAGAAAAAAATACTGATGTGAACGAGAGAACTATCGCCTTGGATTGCGTTGACATTTGGCTGATCTTTAAAACTAGGTGACTCGCGTGTTTGATATCCGCTTGCTTTCATGCCCTTTTTAACCATCGATTTTCGAATTCATTGGCGACACAGTTCACCTTACAAGTCTTCTACGTGGACAGTCGAGCCTCAGAAAGTCTGCCGACCTTGTAGAAGTAAATGGATATGAGAAATGCTAGGTGATATCATGTGATATGAACCAACTAACTTTACCAAGGCTTTGAAGGTCCTTTTAAGACACCCGATACTTCCTGTGTCGTAATTGATCATGATTGAAAATCTTTGAGTTAACTGAATCATGTTGATTTACAGCTTGATGTGACAAGGAAATACACTATTAGAATTTACACAGAATCACGCGACTTTACAACAAAGCAAATTGGTGTAGACTTGTCAATTTTGCTTCATTTTGTCATTGTTACATTCCATGCAAACGCTGCGGGTTTACTTATGTTCACGTGATGTCGTGAAATTAAAAGTATCCATACATTCTCGAGTTCGCCGATTTAGTTGATCAGTTAATTTACTACTGATTTTTCGCGCAGAAAATTCGTTTCCAACTTGAAATAAAGTTTACATACGTGAAGACACTGAGAGAGAAAATCTGATTGTAGGCATGAGAGAACCATAGCATTGTGTAGTGGGTGGAGTCCAATACCATCGGATAGTTCACCAGAATCTTTGAAAACTTTTCTCCAGAAGTCACGCGATGTTAGCGAAACAGAGTTAGCCGGGAATCACAGCAGTTCTATGTTATTTAAGTCCAATCAGTAATGCTGCAATGGGTTCACTCCACTACATTGTAGAGGCTAAGGACAAATGGCCTGAGGCGAAACCGCAGTCTGATAATTTTTGACCTGTTGCCAATTCACCGTACATACCGTTCATGCCTTCACGTTCACAGCTCTTGAACGGTCCATTGTTACAGGACTATTTATGGACGAAATATTTCACCTTAATAAAGTCTGTTAATTTATGTGTGCAGAAAAAGCCGTAAAAAAGTCTGATTTTGTTGTCGATAGAAAGTGCCCATGATCTAATAAATCCAAAATTGAGGAAATGAATGATCAAGTACTAATCTAATACCTTTACGGACGCCTCTTTCCCCTCCCCGTTACACAGGAAGTTAACACGCCAGACAAGGGAGGTATTGAAGCGAAATTTGACGATGTGGATAATCAGACATTTCCCTTCGATCGCACTAATCTAACTCGCATTTTCCGGCGGATCATTTCTGTTCATGCTGCCGTGAAAGTTATACTATAAAACGTCACTTGTACCAAGCGGCATGCACATAAATGATCTTGCAATGCATGCATGATCACTAAGTATGGAAAGGATATGTGGACAGTTTACACACACACAAAATTGACTTTCTTTGCAAAGACTGTTACACACCGCATAGTTATTTGTAAATGTGTCAAATCCAAAGAAACAAACCTGTTTTTGAGAGCTGGGAAGTAAGATGTTTGCTTCAGAAGATGTGGGGCGATCGAGTGGACGCTGATATCAGGGTGCGGCTACTTAATGATCAATGACGCCAACGTCTGGGAATGAGCCACTTGAAAAGGCCACTGATCACGTGATATCTTGCTTCAAAGGAACAAAAGAGCATTGTATTGGCAACAAGGCATCTGTTTTGATGTGGAAAGAATTCTTTTATGTTACAAACCTTTTAGTATATAAGCTAGGTAAAGCGGGAGAAATTGGATTTTGAACAGAAAGTTATATCGAATCTTTCTCGGAAAAACAGGAACATTTACCCTCTACTCTACCTTTATGAGTATCAGGTGGGGGCGCCAGATTCTCTTTTCGCAAACACTCATCAACATAGCCATATTATAATAAATATATTTTAATGGCCTGGTCATGCAACAAATCAGCTATTGTTTTGGCGACTACAATAGGCCACTTGCACTAAGAGGTCACGTGACCAATGCTTCCTTTAAACAATGAGTTGGAATCTTGCTGATGCCAAAAATTGTTAGAGCACACAAAAATTATCTTACACCCGAAATTTGAGAGGAAACGCATTTTAGGGAGATATTTTACGGCACTTTGATTTTTCAGCGAAGTAGTAGGATTTGTATTGGCCGCCATGTTGGAGGGTATACTCTTGCCCTCCAACATGGCGGCCAAAACTACTTCTTGCTTATATCTTGTTCAACGTTTCATAGTTACGCTCAGATGTGCTGTAAACGTTATCACATCATCTTTTCAACATTTTCCTTGAAGTTTAAGTGCAAAATTTGTTCAGAAAGAGGTAATTCATAATTTTAAAAATCACATTTTGGTCACGCGACCATTTACAAACTTATTCATTTTAAGAAAATGGTGCGGGTTTGAAACACCAAATCACTATTATTTTGTTTAAGATATGACCCACTAATCGTTTTTCGAGGGCAAAATCATATAACTTTCATTTTCATAAAAACGATGTCACATGCCTCTTAGTGCAAATGGCCTATTGTAGGTCAACTAGTTTCAGCTTGTTATACTCTTTGTCGTCTGCTTTAGTCGTTTTGGTCCATGATATGGACCTTTGCATACTATTTCTCCTGGACCAATTAAGCTTTCCACTTAAGGTATTGAGGTGGTAATAAGCAAAATCAGCAACCATAGAGCTTTCCCCCGATACCTTATTTAGCACATTTTGAAAAATCCTTACAGAGTTACAGACAAAAAAACAAGCAACATTTGGGGAAAAATACTTGTGGAGGCAAAACCTCAACGAAAAACCAGCGAGGGTCCGCCGGATCTCTAGTAGACCTGGATCAGGGGAAAAAATCCAGTGACAATTTTGCTATTTTCCCGACTACCCTTTACAAATTAAATTTCTCTCTTTGTTGGAAACAAAGGCAGCCAAAACATCGTGAGAACGAAAGACGATAAAGTGGGCAACAAAACTGGCTATAAAAAGAAAGGCAAATAAAAAAAGAAGGGAGCGAGAAAAAATTGAAATAGGTAAGAAAAATTGTCTTATGCGCATGCGCGATAAACAAAAAAGCTGCTTTAAAATTTTAAATGCTTAATTACGTCCAAGAAGTAGAAAATTATGTCCTTCGTGTTAGAAATCTCTTTTTTAGCCATTTCCATGTTAACTGGGCAAAGAACGGTTCATAAAGGAGGATTTGGTCCAAATGCGGTTTTTTCCCTAACCATTACGTCCCATGCATACTTTGGATAAAGCACGTCAAACGGGGAGGGGAGAGAGCAAAAGGAGAGAAACAACTTTCTCTCTTACCCCTCCCTCCTTTAGGACTGAATACGTCAAAGGCTGGGGAGAGGTGTGTGTTATTGCAAATGGGAAACCAGTTCTTACTTCTGGAAAAGTTTGCTTCTCTTACCCTTCCCCGGCGCTTTTTCATAATTTCCTGGATCTGTCCAATGCATTTTCGCAGTCATTTCTTATTTGCCGAGTACCAGTTTATGTATTTTTCAGGCGTAGATGTTTTTGGATCCAATATGTACATATACCTTAACAAGGCTTTACCCACGTTTTCTCAAAGCTTTGATTTGGCTATCATCGAAAACGGCACTTCACTTCTTGCCCTCAATTCACGGAGACGTTGTTTGGCGTGCCAGAATTTCATTACATCTTACATCATCATCTTCTATTTTTGTGGTATCTGTCTACTGCTAGAGCCCCGAGTTGTTGAAGTCTGTAGGTTGCAAAGTTGGCTTCACGGTGACTCGTGTTGAACAAGTGCTCTAAATATATCCCCCTTCGATACCGAGGAGCCCACCCTTCTGTATGGACGGAGGGCGGAGGGCCTGGGGCCCGTTTCTCGAAAGTCCCGGTAACTTTACGGGCCCGAAATCAAATATTCAAATCGAAATATAAAGAATAAAATCGCAGGTCCTGGCTAGCAAACTACTCCATTTTGTTTCATTAACTGACAGTTTTATCATGTTAGATGCAAAACTATTGAAACCTCGATCTTCAATGTAAACGGAGACAGCTTACCGGGCCTGTTAATTATCGGGATAATTATAACGATAATTAACGGGCCCGCAAAGCTGTTGTTGTTTACATGCAAGATAGAGGTTTCAATAGTTTAGCATTTAACATGATAAAACTATCAGTTAATGAAACAAAAAGGAGCAGTTTGCTAGCCAGGACCCGCGCTCTTATTCTTTGTATTTCGATTTNTATGTATTTTTCAGGCGTAGATGTTTTTGGATCCAATATGTACATATACCTTAACAAGGCTTTACCCACGTTTTCTCAAAGCTTTGATTTGGCTATCATCGAAAACGGCACTTCACTTCTTGCCCTCAATTCACGGAGACGTTGTTTGGCGTGCCAGAATTTCATTACATCTTACATCATCATCTTCTATTTTTGTGGTATCTGTCTACTGCTAGAGCCCCGAGTTGTTGAAGTCTGTAGGTTGCAAAGTTGGCTTCACGGTGACTCGTGTTGAACAAGTGCTCTAAATATATCCCCCTTCGATACCGAGGAGCCCACCCTTCTGTATGGACGGAGGGCGGAGGGCCTGGGGCCCGTTTCTCGAAAGTCCCGGTAACTTTACGGGCCCGAAATCAAATATTCAAATCGAAATATAAAGAATAAAATCGCAGGTCCTGGCTAGCAAACTACTCCATTTTGTTTCATTAACTGACAGTTTTATCATGTTAGATGCAAAACTATTGAAACCTCGATCTTCAATGTAAACGGAGACAGCTTACCGGGCCTGTTAATTATCGGGATAATTATAACGATAATTAACGGGCCCGCAAAGCTGTTGTTGTTTACATGCAAGATAGAGGTTTCAATAGTTTAGCATTTAACATGATAAAACTATCAGTTAATGAAACAAAAAGGAGCAGTTTGCTAGCCAGGACCCGCGCTCTTATTCTTTGTATTTCGATTTGAAAATCTGATTTCGGGCCCGAAAAGTTACCGGGTCTTTCGAGAAACAGACCCCAGGACGGTTTGTTATGGTATAGGACTGGGTACTAATGCCTGGATGAGAAGATTTCAAGATGGCGGCTGTTCGACACTTTACTCGTCTATTTCAACGCAAATCGCTCCTTCATCGAGTGCCCGTGGTTTCTTCTATTCGGTAGATATATTCTTCTATATTTTTAGTTAAGTTCCCGGGGTTAAAGACGCAATAGTGGGCCAAGAACAGCTTTAAAGTTCACGTTATGTAACAACAGAATTGCAGCTCAAAAACACAGTGCCTGACTGCTAGCTTGACACTGAAATACTTGACTTTGAAGAAGGTTTTGTTTCTTTTATTAAACGTTGGATGGTTAAGAAAACATTCGAAAAATTTTCACCTGTTATTCAGTTGGGAAGACTTGAAAGAACGGAGGATTAAGGACTCTTTATATATATATATGAAGTCTAAAGGACTACGTCACTTCACAGAAGTTTTTGTGTTTGCTCGTTATATTTAGTCAAGTCTTCTGCTTGTCTGTTTGCTTCCCCTCAGTAACTGCAATCTATATTTTCTAATATTTTATTATGATAATGATAATAAAAGCATTACAAAACAATGCCTTTTGTCAATCAACGAGATGCAAATGAGTGGCCGGGTATTCTGAAGTACATTCAAGATTAAATTTGACTAATGGAAGAAGGATTTGCTACTTTAAAATGGAGCCAAATCAGTTGAATAGACTAAAAAGAGTAAACATGATAGCCCCGCAAACGAATGTTGATATTTTTCCAAAAGATTAGCCAACAGAAACAGAATGGTGGAAGCCATTTTCAAGGTACATAATGCATGGTTCAATAATTATTTGACCTCATTTCCACCAACATGTGTGGGGATATTTTGCTTTTAAACGTTTACTGAGGTGTAGTGATGATAGAACTTTGCCTCTGGTAAAAAAATCTGCGATTCAGTAGGTTTTTGGGCTGCAAACTGCCTTCAAGTAGACAAGGTCCGAACTGCAGGCTGTTTTTCTGTGCAGCCTTTTCTCTGTATTATGAAGGGAGTCACAGGGATCACACAATAACAGCCAAAAAAGACGATTAAATTGATGAATATTTAGCTTTCATAGACATCAGTATTTTATTTCTCATACAATGTCTGAACGGTTGCCTGCAATGCCAGGCATGTAGCCAAGGAAAAGCTCAACAGGCTTTTTTATAAGTCAAGCCGGCTTTTTACTCAACTGCACCTTCAAAATAACTCTATGTCTTTGTTCTCTAGAGCAATTTGAAGTGGTGATAAGGTTTTTATCGATTGGGGGTAAATTAGCCAGTGCCTGGCTCTTAGCCACATTCCAGAATGTGACACCCATTCTCTTGTGAGAAAGTAAATTTTCATTCCACACTCATAAGTTTGGGTGGCCTGTGGAAGTTTTAAAACATACCTTCAAATACGTAGCCTTCAGTTCCACAGCTTCATGCAAACTATACTAGAAATGACATGTACTACGTAAAATCAGAGAGAAGTTATTTTTTATGTGCCCCACCTCTCACCCCCACAACAGGACCACCTCAAACAATTCCCCACCCCCGGGACCAAAGGGCTGGACTTGTCTTGGGGGGGAATGGTAACAGGTCAAATTGAGCCATGCATCATGTGGGAGTGAGTTTGTTAATTCTAGGGTGTTATTTTTGGCACATTACAATATATTATTGACAAGTTCTCATCCAACTCGGAAACAAGATTGAATTGGGAGGTATAACAATATTAATTTTGTTGTTTATTACTCTTACCAGTTACCTGCGGCGACTCCCTGAGAGTGAGGTTGAAGATGAGAACAAACCGCTAAAGCTGCCAGGTGTACTAGCATCAATGACAGGAACAGTCATGTACCCTGATGAAGAGTCTGCAAAGTGGGATGTAGATGGTATGTGTTAACCCTGTTATCAATAAGTAAATTCTCCTAACTCGTCTCTATACATTTTCCTTGGTAGTGAAGAGGAGAGTTAGTGTAACAGTTATGAAAAAAAGCTTTTTTGCTTGGGGATCATTCTCATTCTCATTCTTCTATTTTGCAGTTCCTGCTCAAGAAAAGATTTTAACAAACATGCAGGTGAACTTTGGACCCCAGCATCCAGCAGCTCATGGTGTATTGCGACTGGTTCTCGAACTTGATGGCGAGGTATTGTTCTTTTTTTCTTCTGAATGTTTGAAGTTCTGAGCAAGCTTTAAAATCATTTGGGCATTAGCACTATCCAGCAGATAAAAATCTATCCAGTGGATAATGCAATTGGTTTCCCTAGTACTTATCTGCTGGTTAGTGATTTATCTGGTGGATAGCACTATCCAACATTGAACAACCCAGGCCTGGTTCTTATTAGCAGATGTTTACTGTATTACAGTTCTCACTACATGTATGAGATGAGTCTCTTTTACGAACCCACAAGCATCAAACAAGATTTTTTCATTCATAGTTTGGCTTTCAGTAAGATGGTAAAACTGTTTGCTTTGCATTGTGTGTAGGTTGTCATTCGTGCAGACCCTCATGTTGGACTCCTGCATCGCGCTACTGAGAAGTTGATTGAGTACAAGACATATCTACAGGTATACATATCTACAGTTCTCAAGATTGTACTCAGAGGTGCTAAACTTCATACAATCTTTACTTCTTTAATATAGACCCCTTTGTAAGGGTATATTTGGCCCAGTCACTTTGGTGCCCACATCAAGGAGTTTTTTATGTAATGATCATTTTTTGCACAGGCCTTGATTCCAAGGTTTATTGTCCTTTAATTTCCTGTGACCAATTTTTTTCCAGTTTTGTATCAAGGGGTTAGTTTTCAATGCGTCCGTGGGGGTATGAGATTTTGTTATATCAACTGAATTAGTAAGGTAGATGGATTTGTCCATTGTAGGGAGATAAAAAGGCTGAAAGTCAAGTGTTAGCCCTTTGTCAGGGTGAAGTTTCGTGTTATATTGCTTGTGTTTCTTTACAAAACATCAAGTACTTGTAATTTACTAAAGTTTAGGAGTATGTTGCGTCTCATTGTGCAAAAGCCAAGTTTATAGAAAAATGGAATTTGTCCTTAAAATGTCCTTGAAAATATATAGTTTTTAGATTTATATGAACCATGATTTATTTGGATGTAACCAAAAAATGTTGCCACATCTCTATGATAGAAAGTATTCCTAATACGTGCTGTTAAGGTCTCTGTTTTACAGAAAAAGGACTGTAATATTAATTAGGGAGCTAAAGCAACAACAACGGCAAAAGCAGCAAAAATGCCACTCAAGAGTGAATTTTTGTTGTCTTAAACTTCATCGCTCTTATTCCAACTCCTTTAATTTGACAAATGTTGGCGATTTTTCAGGAGTTGAATTCTAAAGGACCATATGTAAGTTCGCAAAAACAAAAAGAAAATTGTTGTCTTGTGTGCGCGTCCTCCATAAAACGTGAAATTAGGAAGATTTGCGTGCTAGTCATGCAGTGATGGCAAAGAAATATACAAAAAAGCATGAAGTTGTTGTATTGCAAAATAATTATTGTATAGCTCCTTATTATGATTGCTTCTGAGATGTTGTAATAAGAAGCTGGAGTCAAAGTGTGATATATTTAACAATTATTCCTTGAGCCTGAATGGGCTGTGAGTCGCGAATGGGCTGTTGACTCAGAGGCCATGAGGGCGAGAGGAATAATAATTATTTTAGTAAAATCCAACTAGTTGGTCAAAAAAATCAAGAATAAAAAATTTTTAGCTAGTTAAAGCTGGACTTTAATCCTTTTTTGCCGCCAAAAAGCCCGCGCTTTTCGCTACTAGTGGGTTATAACATATAGCCTAGTAGTAGCTCAACCAATCAGAATGCAGCATTGATAATAGACCACTAGTTGGATTTTACTAAAGAAAATTATATCCCCAGTGCTATGTGTCTCTGTTGTTTCAGGCCTTACCATACTTTGACCGTCTGGATTATGTTTCTATGATGACAAATGAACAGTGTTACTCTCTAGCCGTGGAGAGACTCTTGAATATCGAAATTCCAGAAAGAGCCAAATGGATCAGAGGTGCGGTGATGGATTTCTTTTACATTCTCGAGTACATTCCCATTGCTCCCCAAAGTAAAATTTAGAATTAAATCCCAATTTATTTTGTAGAATACTGATCAACAAAAAAACCTTGAGTGAGTACTGTCATGAGGTTTTGGTGGAATGGTTCACCATCGCATTTCTCCCACAGATTCAAAAGTTAGAACCACCTTGTACAGCATTGAACAAACAGTACCACAGGAATGTAATGCTCAGTAGCTTCCATTTGAATGGTCACATTTTGGGATAATTTTCATCCACAGACTCAAAAGTAAGAAACACCTTGTACAGCATATTAAACAGTACCACAGGAAAGTACTACTCCGTAGCTTTTATTTGAATGGTTTCACCATGTAACACTTCTCCCACAGACTCACAAGTGAGAACAACCTTTTTTAATGGCACAATGTTATAAAAGGTACCACAAAAAAGTACTACTAAGTAACCAATTAAACGGTCACATTATTAGGATTTCATATTGCTGTAACATACCAGGTATTGTTGTATTGCCACCTGGTTAGCTCAGCTGGGAGAGTGCCGGTCTGTTGAGAGGTAGGTCACGGGTTCGAACCACGGCCGAACCAACAGTCAGGGTCTTTAAATAACTGAGAAGAAAGTAATAATAATAATAATAATAATAATAATAATTTTATTTATATAGCGCTAAAATCCAATAATTGTCCAAAGCGCTACCTAATTACAAAAAAGAATATAAAAAAACAAAACAAAAACAAAAACAAAAAAAAAATCTAAATTATAAAATATCTACAATATACAATATAATTCAAATATAGCCTAAGTTATCTACTATATAAATCAAAAACATCTTAAAAACAAAAGGAATCTCATAACCTATATGCTAACTTAAAAATCTGTAGGTTCCTAAGATGTACCGGTCTGGGTTCTGCTGGCCGGTGTAGTGCGGATCAATTGTGCCCTCATGTACTGGATCTGAAGCCAAGGTTCGGATTAACCTCATTACTGCTTGTTGCTCTACAAAACGAAGAGATTGTAAATTGTAAATATCTTATTATTCACTCCCCCTTGGGGCTTTTCAGGGATAATTTACAACTCTGGTCGGGGAAATTTGCCAGACTGCTCATGGTAAAGAGATGAGTGTTGACGACCCCTATGTAAGTGTGAAGTTGAGATAGGCAATCACACCGGAGACTACATCTCCTACTCTTTATGAAGAGTGTGTTGGTTCTTTAACCTGCCACAGAATTTATTGCATGATGAAGCAAGGCTTGTGAGATGGGGCCTTAGGTTTATCATCCTTATCTGAGAAGACAAGAAAGTCTAACCCTGTTGCATATGTCTTTACAGTAAAAAGGCAGCACTTTCTTCTCAGTTACTTAAAACCCTGAGTGTTGGTCCAGCCGGAGTTTGAACCTGCAGTCTGCCACTCAGCAGGCTTCTAAGCTCTTATCCAATTGAGCTTGAGAACGAGATGGCGATTCATAAATGTAAATGTGATTTTATGGTGTGTTTCAAAGCAAAGAAAAGTCAAAACTGGACAAGATTCAGTCGATTCTGTGTTAAAAGACACCCCACTGGACAAGCTAGAACTAGTTTACCTTCATTTCCAGCTTTCTTTAACCACCGGTTAACAGCTGGGACAACATCAGGTTTGAATGTTGAAGTAACTGTCTGTTCAAGTGAAGGAAAATCACAATGAAATAAGGACCCGTTCATAAACAAACTGTTTACATGTATTAAATGGAGACATGAAATGACTCATATTTTGAACTGCTGATAAAGATATAAGTGGCCTGCACTCCAGTTGGCTTGATTAGCTTAATGGATGGAGCATTGCGCCCAGTCATCGCAAAGGTCAGGGTTCGATTCCTGGTCAAGCCTGAATTTTTTCAGGCATTTTTTCAACAGCTCAGGTTGTTTATTCAACTGTGAGGATCATTTCTACTTTCATAAACGGTTTATTGTAACAAACTGGCATGGTGTCTAAGTAAATATCTTACCCTTTCCATTTCAGCTGAGTCACATGCGTCATTCAACATGTTGGTGACAATCTTCTTGTCTGATAAAATGATAAAATTTAAGTATTTTTCAGTAAACAAATAATGCCTTTCTTATTTTGATTGAAATACATGTAATGGTTCTTATGGAAGAAAAATGTCTATTATTATTATCATTATTATTGTTATTATTACAAAGAAGTGTGATAACTTACATTACATTATCTCAAGAAAAAATTACATTTAGAACTACAATTAAAAATGACAAAAACTTCCAGGTCAGTGATAATATTATTTTGTGTATTTATTACTGCATGAACAGATTACCAAATAAAAATACCTTTCAAGGAAGCATTTTTCACCCAGGCTTGTGTTGCTGGTATGGCTCTTGGGTTCATGACAGCTTTTAGAAGGGCCTAGAAATAAATGTTAATGGAACTTGAATTTAGCCTTTTTAGATCTTCAACAAATCTGAAAACTTGTGGACATCTCATTATTCAGGACAGTTTGCTTTGCTCCTGGGGAAAGAAAGCAGTGACTGTCATATTTTTACCTAAACTCAACCCGCTTACTATGGGCGTCCTGTTAATAGGGACACTTTCTTTGGCTCCTTGAGTGTCTTTATTAACCTTTTAAACCCTAAGATCAAAATTTGAATTCTCATTTGTTGCCCCTACTGGCTACTCATTTACTATAGAAGTAGTGGGGAGAGGTTCATGAAATATCAAGCAAATTCATCCTGTGTGATCATGTTCGCAATTCTCATGACCACTCTGTTTTACAAAGCATTGATATTACAAGGAGAAATTTGAAGCTGGTCACTCTTAGGGCTTAAAGGGCTAACAGGGTTTGACTGTATTATGTGCTAATAAAATATTGCAACAGTAAGCTCTCTTCCTGTCCATTATATTTCCTCTAAACCATATTATTTTGTATATTAGACTTTTTTTAATTACCCTTTTTCTCTACACTTAAAGAACATTATTTTTGTCTTACCTCATCTGTTCCTCTTTTCTGCATATCTTTCATTTCCCATAAGGTGTAATACATTGTCTGTTGGGCATGGTTTGGTTCATCTGGTTTGTAACCAACTAGAATAGAAACATTAGGAAATCATAGATATTTCTTACTTACAATTTTAACCTGTTTTTTAGTTTGAGATACAATTTTAACATGCTCGCAGGTAGCTACACTAATCCATATGCATAGATCAAAAAACCAAATAGTTTCTTAGATTGTCATACACTGTACGTGCTAATTTCATTTTAAATTTTTTTTTCTCAGTTATATCTTGGTCAAAGTTTGTGACATTTTCATTTTGTTCCAATTGTGTACTCATGCTTTCTTCCTTTTGAAGGGATGTGGACATTATTTCTTACTGAGAAGTTCAATAACATCACTGCTAGTTGAACCTTAAAATAGTCACACTTCGTCATTGATTAAAATTCTTGGCATGGCTGATGATTAGCCTGCACCACAGAGGAAACTAAACTCTGGTCAAGTCCATCTGTGAAACAGCACCAAAATCCTTGTTCTGGGCCCCACCTGTGTACCAGGATTTGAGTATGTGCCATGATTGGCCTGTTCAACAAGCCACTGTTGATTTGCCAATCAAGATATGAAAGGAAATTAGAAACCCACTTCCAGGAATTTGTTGTGTCATTTGGGGGCCCAGAACTAGGATCTTGGCGCTGCTTTGTAGATGTTACTAACAGAGTTAAATTAGATCCCTGACGCAGGCTAGGACCCATGGGTGCTTTCAGGAAGGGGGTCCAGATCTCCAGGATCAGCCACTGATCATAAGTGCCTGTCATTAACTCAAGACACTTATATGATTATAATGAGACTGCATAAGATCTCCACAGCATGTTAATGCTTACATCCTAGCTCCACGGCCCAGTAATGTTTAAAAGGTGGATAATGCTATCCACTGGATAAATCTTTATCCCGTGAATAACGCATTATTGTTGTCCCTAATACTTATCCCCCCGTTTTGTGATTTATCCAGTGGATAGCACTTAACAACCGGAGCCAGGTAAACTAGCCTTAAGGCTGAATGAGAACAACTTGACTGACTGCGTATTCAACCTATCAATAACTTACCATCATAAGGGTCCTGTCCAGGCTTTTCTTTTGCTTTTGGAAACCCTTTAGCTTCTCTCAACTGAAGACGCAAGAATGATCTGCAGAAAAATTCATATAGGAAGAAGAAATAAGGAATCTTAAAAACACTGCTTTCCTCTCTGAAAAGTATTAATAATTAACACTTTTCAGAGAGGAAAACGGAGTTCATACACCAGGTTAATTATCTAATTATTAGTAGATAATTAACATGGTGTATGAACTCCATAAAACTTTTACAAGTGGAAATTACAATTATATTACAGGGGAAGATCCAGGAATTTTTGATTGGGGGGTCCAGATCATAGGAGAGTACCCAAAAAACATTGCATTTTTGAATATCCCTGGAATTTAGTTTTAAAGTGGCAAAATGCAAGGGCATTTTATTAAAAAAGTCAGCCAGTTAAAAAGTGATATACGATCCTGTTGATGTAAGAATTTCAGTCTCAAAGAAGCATCAGGTCTGATAGGGAGGGTCCGAACCCCCCAGACCGTCCCCCTGAATCCACCACTGTATTAGTCGGAGTTTCACTAGCCTAGCGGCATGGCAGGCATTCTTCAGGGAAGACGAAGGGAATTTGGGCACTAGATCGACCACAATTGCAAAGGAGACTGGAGAAGGGGAACATTTGCATGCTTCTACCATGCCAGGAATCTCCTTCTCCTTCCCTTTCAAATGCCAGCCATGCAGGCTGAGGTTCCACCGTGTATGATCATATACAAAGTACACTATCAGGGTCTACCATAAAGTTTATCATTATGGACACCTGTAAGGCTGGGTTTCACTAGCGACTGAGTCAGAGTCATAATCGGAGCCGCAAAGAGTGCTTATGACTTGGTGAAAATCAAAAACTGGAGATGTGAGCAGAGTCATAAGCACGACAGATTCGATCGCAGTCGAAAGAATCAGAACTAGTGAAAACCAGATTATTGGAGGCGGAAGGATAAACCAATCACCATGCACATTCCCAGTTTTTGTGATTACTTTAGTTTGATCATCTGCCTCTGCTTACAACTCCAACAACCTAGTTTTCACTTGATCATAAGCAACGGAGTCATCAGAACGCTGTTTTCACTAGATGGTAACATCTTGCGGCTCTGACTTTTTATGACTCCGACTCTATCGCAAGCGAGTGATGAGTGAGGTCTTATTTTTTCATACATCAAGTTTGCTTTGAGTATCAATGATAAATATCAAAACCTGCCAATCAAAGGGTATACCGGAATCTAGAATGCTGGGAGAAGCACTTGTTGAGGAATCCTACTGCTATCTATCATCCCTTCCCCCCAGGCCCCCAAAATCCCAGATCCTCTTGCCCCTTCTCGCCCGGTGTTAAGTTTACTTTTTTTATGTGCTTAGAGCAACAGGATAGATGCTGGCGTTCCCGAACTAAATATGAAGATTTTTAATAACAGAAAAATTTGAACATTCTACACCAGCAGTACCCTTCAAAAACACTATTCTTGCATACTCTAAACACTATATAATGTTGCCACTTATAATAATAATAATAATAATAATTTTATTTATATAGCGCTAAAATCCAATAATTGGCCAAAGCGCTACCTAATTACAAAAAAAACAAAAAAATACAAAAGGAATCTCATAACCTATATGCTAACTTAAATAAAAAAGTTTTAAGGGATTGCTTAAAAGTTGCCACTGAAGCACATTTCCTAATCTCTAGAGGTAAATCATTCCACAATTTAGGTCCTGCAATAGAGAAAGCTCTGTCTCCATATGTTTTCAAAGTGCTGCCTTTGTAATGACATCTGCAAACGGTTAGACTTTCTAGTCTTCTCGGATAAGGACGAAAAACCGTAGGTCCCCTCTCACAGCACTTACACTTATCTGGTTCTTGAGGGACGTAAAAGAACCCACGCCACTATTTGAAAAGAGCAGGGGACGTAGACTCCAGTGTTGTGGTCAACCTTCACTCATCACATCATTCACATCATGGGTTGGGTGAGTACAGTAAGCTCACAAATGGACTGAACTTACTGTTCACATGTTACAATATGTGTTGTAAGCGGGGATGTCTGTTGTCCTCTCATCCTCAAGTCTTCATTCATTTCATTCATTCAACAAGTCAGTCTGGTGGGAGTGCAACGTTTTTGTAAATGTAAACGCTTCCTTTTATTTCAGAACTAAAACAATGACAGGTTACTTGTGTAGAAAGTTGCTGAATTTCCACCTTCTGATTGGCTTGATCTAAAAAATTGTTGTTATTAAAGTTTAAGTGCTTTGCACATACCGGTGGTTAATTTTGCTGCGCTTTTAATTAACAACCATGGTTTCTGTTTGCTTTTTTCAGTGTTGTTTGGTGAAATCACCCGAATACTGAACCACATAATGGGCGTCACCACACATGCTCTTGATGTGGGTGCCATGACACCATTTTTCTGGATGTTTGAAGAGAGAGAAAAGGTAATAACATTTCTATATAACTCTACAGGCAGTATCTGATTAAACCCTAATATCAAAATTGAGATTCTCATTTACTTTCCTTATAATTTTTCAATAGAAGCAGTTTGGAGAATTTGTTGAAATATCAGACTGATCTTTCCTGATCATGGATTCAATTCTCATGACCACTCTGTTTTCTAAAGCATTGACATTATAAGAAGAAATTTCATTCTGATCACTCTTAGCATTTTGTACCACATGGTACATGTATAGTATCAGGTCAGGTAAATTTTGGCTTCTCTCTCTGGTGGGTGGGATATGGGGCGGGGGGGATACTCGACCAATATTTGGGCCAAAACCATTCTAAAAGTAAACTGCTCGGGTAAAAAAGCCACGACAAGAAAAAACGTGTGCTCTCTCACGTGTGCCTGTTCTCTCTTTCACTCACTACATCCAAGCGCCTGCTACGCAGGCTAATTCCCAGACATCCTCAAAGTTGGTCTGCAAAAAAAAAAGCTTGGCTGTGCCTTGTTTTTTCCCGCCACTTCTTCTTCTCCTCTGGATCTCCGATGAAATACTGCCTCTTGCTGCTTTTGATATGTTACTTCACTAGCTCTTTTTCTCTTGTATGTTATGTTTGCTGCAGATGATGGAGTTTTATGAAAGAGTTTCTGGTGCCCGCATGCATGCAGCTTATGTCAGACCGGGTGGAGTGGCGTTGGTAAGTGTTAAGCAAACCTCCTGACTTTATTTATTGTTTCAACGATGTGAACTTCAGCAGCTGCGAGTGACATTTTGTATCTCTTTTACGATGCTTTTAATCGTTTTTAAATCTTTCCTTACATTGTCACCTCAGCATATCAGTAATTTAATTACTAAGTATTAGCAGGAGCTGATTACTTCGGCTCCTGGTATTAGGAAGCAATCTGCCTATTGGCTGCCATCAAAAGGTGGATCACTACCTTGTAAGAAGAAGCTGGCATCCTTTACAGATAGATTTTTTTCCCGTCGCTGCTCCTGCACTGTAGAATGCCTTACCCATCTCTAAATTATTATTATCTCATTTTTTATTTTGGTATTTGTTGTCTTCTTCATTCAGGATATGCCACTCGGTTTGATGGATGATATTTATGACTTTGTTTCAAAGTTCGCCCAGCGACTGGATGAAGTTGAAGAGGTGTAGTAACGTTTTCATACGGGACTCCCACATGAAAGGGACCCGGGTGGTCGTCGTCTTGCTTAGGGGTGTAAATTTCGGATTTTGGTCTCACTTAGGGTGTTCTGGGCAAAACCCCATTATATTTAGCCATAAACGTCTCTTTTAGGTTTCATGCGAAGAATTTTAAAAAAATTATATATTTTCAATTTGTTTTATTTACTCGATTTAAGTAATCAAAGTTTAACATGGTCTCTTTTAGGGGTGAAAAAAGAAAGGTTAGGCCACGCCCAGATTGGTCTCCTTTGGGGGTTTAATTCACAATTTCAGACGAGCATCCCCGCCTCTTTCATATGGGAGTCCCCCGCGCGTTTTGTATTACTAACTTTAACATCGTAGTAGGCAAAGCCAGCACAGTGGGACTCCAGGAGAATAGGAGGTGGGAGGGATGCGGGAGGCGGAAGTTCTAAAAGGACGGGAATTGGGAAAAATAGGGGAAACTGCTCAACAATACTGTCTTAATATTTTGAAATCGAAAAACGTATCAAGGGAGGAAGCCAAGAAAAAGAGGGGCAATATGAAAATTCAAGGTACGGAAGGCAGAAGGTTTGGACCCCCCCCCCCCTCCCTCCTTCAGAGTATCATACCCATTGACCTTGACTGTGTACAACGTGACTCTCAGGTGAACTGCACATTTATTGGACAGCATGCATGAGGAATAACGTCGACCTTTTTTGAACTGTTTGGTAAAGGTACATTTGCATTAACACTGTTAAATGAAAAACCTGTCCAATGATCTTGGCCCGATGGCCTGATGCTTTGCAGTAAGGGAAGTAGTTAATGGTCTTTGTACCGTTTGATAATGCAACTTTTACGGAAGTAACATAATAGAGACCAGCCTGCGGAAAGTTTTCAGTTTGGGGGATATTATGTAAAGTCACGCGTGAGCTGCACGCAAAAGGAGGCGCAAGAGTAAGGAGTGCGTTTCCGCGAGGCTTGTTTCGATCGCCACCAAAAATGAAGGCTTTGCTCCCAGGCTAAGCGCAGGTTGAAATAGAGACAAACGAGCATACCATTCAAGTGTAAACAGGGCATTTTAAGATTATACCACAATGGTGAGGGCAGCAAAAACATCTCTCAAAAAAAAGATATCACGCAGGCAAATTCTCTAACTCTATATTTTTGTTCAAAAACCCCAGTTATCTTTTGAAATTTATTTTCAGATGTTGACAAACAACAGAATCTGGAAACAGCGAACAGTGGATGTAGGCGTAGTCACCGCAGAAGATGCTCTCAATTACGGCTTCAGGTTGGCAACAGTTTTTTTTTTGTCTTTCATTCAAAATATATCTCCGTTTCTTATGGCTTAAATCTCCGTGCTTGTTCTTCATAACCTGGTAGCGTTGACCAAATTTCAAAGATTCCAGACGTTAAATCTCCGTGCTTGTTCTTCATAACCTGCTAGCATTGACCAAATTTGAAAGATCCCCCCCCCTCACCTTCCCGCACCTTGCATTCCCTGTTTTCGACCCTTTCTCTTGACTTTCTCTCTTTAGCTCTTTTTCGTTTACAAAATATAAAACATTCATAATTTGCCCCTATCTCTCCCACTTCCCACCCTTCCCTCTTTGGCTTTCTGTACCCTTCTTGCCCCCCATTCTCCCGATCTCTCACTCCCTTTTCTCTTCATCTCCCCCTGTTCTCCCGATCTCCCACCTCCTATCTCCTAATCACTCGCCCCCTATTCTCCCGAGCTTCCACCCTTTATTCTCCCGATCTCCCCCCACACCCTGTTCTGCGGAAGGGGAAAAGGGATTTCAAAGATTTGGCTTTTGATTAAGTAAATTGACCATCTACTGGTGGTTTACAAGCTGAAGCTTTGAGCGTTAGCCCCTAACTTACCAATGTTTAACAGGCACTAACACTAACAAACACTAACTGCTGGCTACAGCTGTTAGCTATATGTTGTGAAAAGCAACTCTGCGACTGACGTATCATTTGTCTTTTTTCGTGCCAGTGGAGTGATGCTGCGTGGCTCCGGTATCAAGTGGGATTTGCGTAAATCGCAGCCGTACGATGCGTATGACAAAGTGAATTTTGACATTCCCATTGGCAAGAATGGCGACTGTTACGACAGGTAAGGATTGAAGGAATTATGTGACTGAAATTTTTCCCTTTTTCATCAAAATCGACCCCGAGCTTATTAATATTCTCTGCATTCATTCATCGGTTCCAGCAGCTCAGGTTGTGGGATGGTGCAAAGAGATGTATGTTAGCGGGAAAATCAGTGAAGGGGTGGGGCAGGGGGTGAGAACGAAGGAACTCCTTCTATCCCTCTTTCTTCTGCAAGAAATCGCGGTCAAGTTTGTTTATTCAAGACAACAGAAACTTGATAACTTTTTATCTTGAAGAAGATAATGGCAAAGTATGGGTTGTTAGTTGGCATTTGTGCACTCTTTACGGTCTTGATTTGTTTAATCAAGTTTCCCCGTGATATTTTTAGGTATTTGATCCGGATGGAAGAAATGCGACAGAGTCTGAAGATTATTGAGCAGGTCAGTGTGCAAATGAAGCGTGAGAGCACAGACACCCAATCTCAGAATGTGATCTTCCTTCTTAATGTTGACAACATATTTGGTCCTTTTCAACGCGTGACTTATCTATGGAGCTATTTTGTAGGCTTGTCTCTCCAGCCCCCTCCTCCACACCCAACTTACCCCTCCCCCACGCCTACTGCTCATCCAAAAAAATGTTACTTTTATTAAGACCAAGCATGGGTATGATGTCGATATGACTGGTACGTACCCTGGGTGTGACACAATTAATGTGACGCTCCCCCCACCTCCTTTGAAAAACCGTAGCTACTTTGAATAGCCAATTTTATTCTAGTACCCGAGTGACATTAATTCACGATACCTGACCTTGAATGCTTTCCAAAACAACGCTTTTATAATGAACGCAGTGCCTTCTTCTTTGATGCTAGTTTGTTTAGTTACTAACCTCTTCAAACAACGCTTCATTTGTGTCTTTTATAACAGTGTTTGAACAAGATGCCCCCAGGTGAAATTAAGGTGGACGATGCCAAAATCTCACCACCAAAGAGAGCTGAAATGAAGGCAAGTTTCTCGTATTTTGTACACAAACCTATCTAGCCTGCGAACAAGCTTTCCATTTGGGGGATATCGTAAAAAGTACACGCACAAGTGGCACGCGAGGAGAGCTTGCTCGCGAGCTAGAACCTATTGAAATATACAACCCAAAATGCGAAAATTTAGTGGGCGCCCACGATATTTGTACCATAAGGTTCTGATCTGAGAAGCAGTCCTGGAACGTTTACCTTTTGGGAGAACATTAATTAAATGCAATTTTGAAGCTACCATAGGTGTGGTTCCGTGCCGTCACTGAACGTCAGTTTTCGTTTGCTCTGAGAAGCGTAGTACATACAGTGAATATAGGGATTACACTATTCTTTGAGTGGTCGCTTACAGGAGGTTAAAACAATGGAAAATTATAAAACTGTTCCCCCAATTCACGGTCGAGAGGTGGTCATTTACGAGAGGTTTCAACGATATGACTTTGAGTGAAACAATGTTGGCATGTTTGGTGGGTGGTAGTCTGCTACACAGCCGTTTTTAGTGTCGTCACGCAACGCTCCTCCCCACAAGTAATCGACCAAGCCTTTCGTCCCGGTCTTATGTAAACGGCAGCAAAACTACAAATTGGCACCCGTCTGAGTTCGTACCGGTCTCATGTAAATACCCCCTAACAACCTCTCGATTTCCGATTTTGAATACAGGAGTCCATGGAAGCTCTTATCCACCATTTCAAGCTCTACACCGAAGGGTATCAAGTCCCTCCGGGAGCAACTTACACAGCAATTGAAGCTCCTAAGGTGAGTTTTACAGCCAGAGAAGGCCGTTTATAGACTTTCTCAAAGTCCATTTCTTCTATTGCGTTCAGTTTTAAAGGTCTCCGGTATTACAAGGGTATTTTAGAGACATTTTTGCAGAGCGACTCACAATAGTTGCTACCTGTTTATAGTTAATTACTTATATCGTGACTGTCAGTTTGCCGTTTTTTGTCCATAGTTCCTCGGCTTTTTTTAGCCTTAGTATCTTGCCTGCATTTGTCTTTTCTATGTCTAGTCATTTAAACACTCATTCATTGTTTAAGAAAAGTTTAAAAGTTTCATTTTTTATAAAAGTAATACCAATTTTCTAAGAAAAACAACAACAAGCGTACTAAGGAAACTCGATACCGACTACGAACCCTTTTACTTTTCAATTTCAAGGGAGAGTTTGGCGTTTATTTGGTGTCAGATGGAACCAGCAGACCTTATCGCTGCAAGATCAAAGCTCCAGGCTTTGCACATTTGGTGAGTTTTATGTAGATTCATTTTATACATTTGGACTGTCCTCAAGAACGCACAGTGGCTGGTCACCTTGGCTTAAGGTGATGTTACACGGGACGATTCGCAACGACGATTTTAAGCTCACCACAGCGTTGCAATACTCAAACAATGTTGTAACCATTCGAAACCATGTCACAACAATGTTGCAATGCTGTGTTGCGCAAAAATCGTCGTTGCGAATCGTCTCGTGTAACATCACCTTAACACGCGCTGACAACCCGATAAGCCAATCAGTGTCTACGTAGTTTCACGTAGTCGGCATCATGCGCGGGAAAACGTTGGCGAGAAGGTCGCAGTTGATGTGGGAAATATTTCTGATTGGTTAAGAAAGTGGCATGACAGTTTTTCAGCCAAACGCATGCTGGGGCTCATGAAAGCAAGACTTAGCGTTAGTCACGTGGGCGCGTGCACTCTTCTAGTCTAGTTTTTTGGATACTGTAAATTAGGTATTCTCTGTATGTTTATTATTAGTAGTATTCAGGGATTATAATTATCATTATTCTCTACAGGGTGGTCTGAATTTGGTTTCCCAAGGTCATATGCTTGCAGATGTTGTTGCAATTATTGGTAAGTTTTTGCTATCCCATAACTTTGGAATAACCTCCAAAATTCCGCTTCATGTTTTGCTTAAAAGTGATAAATCTTAACCTTTTAAACCCTAATATCAAAATTCAAATTCTCATTTGTTGTCCGTATATGTTTCAATAGAAGCAGTGGGCAGAATTTGTTGAAGTATCAATTAGATTCATCTTGTGTGATCATGCCCTCAATTCTCATGACCACTGTGTTTTATAAAGCAGTGATATTACAAGGAGAAATTTGACGCTGATCACTCTTAGGGCTGAAAGGGTTAAAGCCTGCGTAGCAAACGCAATGCCGTAGCTATTTTGAAGGCAAACACAGATTAAGTCAAAACCCATTCAGTTTTTAAGGGGAAAAGCTTAAACTAGCTTCGAATCCCCTTAAATACACTCTGTTTGCGTCCCAAGTTTTGCAGAAGTTATTGTTTTCACCTCCAGTTAGAAGTCGGAAAAATATCATTGTAGACATAAGCTCAGATAAAGGCTGTTTTTACGACCATATCGGATAGCTGTCCAGGGCGCCTATCCGGTATGTGACTCTCCACTTTAGAGATCGGCGCGGCGCAGAAGTCGCCCCGCCAGAACCGTTCTTCTGAGGGAACAGAAGCCCTGTCCTGTACGATTTTCGTGGTAGCCTGTATAACAGGCGGATCATTTTACGTTTCTGGGAAAATGCCCACCTACCCCTCCCCTAAGCCAACATTTTGCCCTAAGTAAGAACTACGTGTTAATGTTGGTTTAGGGGAGGGGTAGGTGGGCAGTTTCACAGAAACGTAAAATCATCCTAACAGGCGAGCGAAACGAGCGAGGAGCGCCCGATAGGTGCGACGGTAGCCTACCTGTAGCCGCACCCTCCCCCTGACAAAACGTTTTTCCGTTGTCGCGGGGAAGGTGTGGCTACAAGTAGGTTAGCGGGACGGGGGTGCAGGAACGCGCAGAAGAGCTCTCCGGCATGGTGTGAATAAAACCTAAATTCCCAGTGAAATCAGGCAAAGTCGTAATAAAATCAAGTTTGATTGACCGGAAGGTGGTATTTTCATTCTAATGCGTCTCTGTGATATTTCCTCTCAGGTACACTTGATGTTGTGTTTGGAGAAATCGATCGCTAAGTTTCCATCCAAACAAGATTATATTACGGGTTTATCCGCAATGAACTTTTTTCCAAGGTCTCTGTTATCACATATTACTTGGTTAATTTTGGAGTCCAGTACTCATGTAGTTGTAAATTGAGATCGCGCGGCACGAACGCCTTGTTTTAGTCTGTCCCTAGACGTCCTAGCTTGTTATGAAGCTTTGTGCATTTGCTTTAGAGTTTGTCCGCGTACTCGTTTGTTTTCTTCTTTTTTTTTGGAAGAAAGGAAAACGTCTGCGAGAAACTAGTGCTGACTGAAATGTAATTCTGACCATAACGACAGAGTGGTTGAATAACTTTGTAAAATAAGACTAAAAGAATGATTTTACAAGAACATTAGTGAGTTTTCTAGTTGTGATCTTACTTGTCGCCTGCGCACCCAGCGTCACACATCTTTATCCTTTGCCACACGGCGCCGTGCGAGGTCCTTTTTGAAGTGTTACACTGTACCTCCAAACATCCCAGTTTTTGGGCAGAATGGGGATACAGAGGCGTCTTGCTTGATGGCCTGCTGTAAAAACGTATCGATCTTAACATACTTTTGCCCTGAAAACGAACAACAAATTTAACGCCTGGCCCTTCCCCGGAAGTTTCGGAATTTGGGGCGCGAAATAGACCTACTAGTTGTATGTTTTGTTTTCCGTATGTGGGTCATTTGATGTTCCCAAGGGAATTCGCTCTTTGTCTTTTTAAAAGTTATACGTACATATGCACGTGAATATAACGAAATTTGAAAGACACAGTTCACTTTAGACCCCGTTCAAACGTATCCGGATATTTTTTAATCTGCAACTTTTTCTTTCCGGATTTAAAAATGTCCACGGCCACACGTATCCGTATGTAAATCGCCCGTCCACACGTATCCAGATTCACTCTAATACCCACTCCTCTGGGAGTATTGGCAACAGAGCATGCGTCGTGCGCGCGAAATTTTCATCTTGCACTGCCTTTCGCTGGGCTCGATTTTGTTATGTCACCGGATGAAAAAATAACCGGATTTAGCGTCCTCACGATTCCGGATTCATAGCGTATTCAAAAATGTCAACTCTGGAGGGCGGCTTTACAAAGATGCGGATTCATATGCCGGGTTCGCCGGATACGTGTTGACGTGTTTTCCTCAGGGATAGAAGAGCGAGCGAAACGCGAGCGCGCGTCAAAATCACCCCACGCGAGAAAGGCGAGATTTCACGCGCGCTCGCGTTTCGCTCCCTCTACTATCCCTGAGGAAAAATGGTGACTACTCGTAGTCTAGTGGACGTAGTCTGCTACACAGCCGTTTTTTAGTGTCGTCCCGTAACGCTCTCCCTGTGACGACACTAAAAACTGGGCCTCAGAGTATTATCACTTGATTTACATTGGGAATATTTTCTAATACTCCATAACACACTTTGTCCCCCCCAGCCCTCCACCTACCAATTTTGCATAAACTGTTGTTTTCAAATGCTCCTGCGATGACTACGCATTCCATTAACTTTTGCAGATCCACGCGCGGCGAGGAGGGATTGTGGTGGAGAGAGGATTTCCTCGGGCTTGCGCCCTCGCTCCTTGCGTATGCTTTCGGTCTACGATCTCCAAATAAATAAATAAATAAAAATAATAGACTAATCGCGGTACAAATGTCTAAAGGAGAGGTTTTTTGGACTTTGAACTAGTCTGTGTAGCTGGCGGGATCTGGCGAACAGCAAGGAAGATTTTTCTTTCGGCTTAAAACCCTAAATAAAACCTGGAGCCCATCATAGGCTCCTGATAACACCTACAAAATAAAGTGTAGTGGAATAAACTAGACGTGCTTGACTTATTAAAAGCAGGCTAACTTTGAAGCAATGTCCGATGCTTCAAAAGGCAAAAGGGGGCTTTGTTTTAGTGCGGCCCTAGTATATTAAACACTGTAGTAAGAGGACCCCAGCGGGACTCACTTCTGCACATTTACTATATTTGAAAGCATAATTTAAACCGCTTTTCCAGCGTCATTGAGAAAATTGTAAGCTATGGAAGGAAAGACTATGACTTGTAAATCTCGTAACGAGTGGAGCTTGTGCTGTGATATTCCATAGGTCCAGTGCAGGGTTTGTCCAGTCCAAAGTTCAATTTTCCTGTCATCATGCGAACGAGGCTGGAAACGACACTTTGTGGGTTGATGTTTTGGCTTGCGGGGTGAAAAAGTATTGGCGTAAGTGGAAGGGGTGTAAACATTTAATCTGAGAAATACCGAAGATATTCTAATCAAGTCTTGTGATAGGCTTTTTGGTCATGAATTGGTGCATGTGATAATTATAAGCGTGACGTTGTGATTCGTTTTACGCTCGAAAAAGGCTTTCCTTTACCGGTGTCACACTGGCCTCATTAGCTCGGTGCTTTTTACGTGATTGAAAATGAGAAACGTTTCTGTTAGTGAGCAGATCTCACCTAAATGGAAGTCTTTGAGGAGAATCGAGGCGTTTGGAAATTATGAAGATTTCTTTTAATTGCATATGTAAACACTCTTATCTGCGGACGACTTACCGGCGTTTTCAAGATGGCGTCGCAGCCGGTTACAAAATCACCCGAACCCGACCTCAACTTAGGAGACTACGGTGATCTCCCTTTGCTTTTTCGGCACCTGAAACGAATCCTCGTCGACAACACAGAATATTTCGAAAAATACACATCCAAGACAGTATACAAGAGATTTTACGATAGCTTTAACTTGATGCTGACAACCATTGACGTGATGAAAGAAAGCACCATTTTACTTGCACGGACGGCTCCCTTGTATGATTACAGCGGCGATGTTAAGGGAAATGGATATCGGAGTTTGATAAGACTTGTTGAACAGTGCATCCGTTCTGTCACAGAGCTGGCCGCGTATTGCCAATCACATCGAGATAGGTTTTATTTTCGTTCTCATCACTATAGCCTGGAAATGGAGGCGTTTGCGAATCTTTTTCACCGTACTTCAGAGTTATTACAGTTTGCAAGAATAGTCATAGAGGACAGCGTCCCCGACAATTTATTCCCGGAGTGTTTTGACTCTAAAGTCATGCTCGAAGTGGAGCAGTTGGATAGAGAGTGCTTTTATGGTAGAACTCTAGGATTCCAGGTGAGTCGTGTTCATGCTGTTACTACCCCTGCGGGGTACATTGTATATAAAACCAGGACAAGCTCCGAGGAAATTCCTGTGGAGGCTTCGTTGAACCTCTGTGTGGGTACCTGCAAATGTCCATTTCATCACGCATTTTCCGTGAAATTGTCGCATATCAAGAATTGCTTTACGTGGTAACATTACTAGCAAGCTCAGTGCAACCTCAGCAACAACAGAAATAAGAAAATAAGAAAACAAAAACTCTGAATGTACAATACACTTTTTGGCAGGTTTCTTTGCAGTTGTTGCTTGGCTTACATTGTCAAACTTGGCGATCATTGCTTTGATCTCCAACATCATCTCTTTGAAATTATGATGATTTGGTCGTAACTTCAATTTTGTTTAAAAAAAAAAACCATACAGAGACTCTTATTTGGTATCCCTGCATGATGGAGTATAAATTTATGACTTCCAATCTAGAATAGCCTACATGGCGGGTATTGAGAGTGGGGGCATATTATGCGAGCTATAGCCTGATCAGTGGATCTGGACCCAAAGGATCACTTGCATAAATACTTCGGCCCCCACTCTGTATTTCAGGCTTGCAGGCAAGATTCAGTAACCGGTCAGGTTGCCCAAAAGTCATCTTGTGTGAAGTTATGTCACCTGAAACCAGAGTTAAGTTGCCCGAAAAACGGATTCATGTCACGCGAATTTTAGCAGGTGAAGTGTGCGAAGAAGAAAAGCTAATTTTTTTAAATAAAGAGTGTGTGTTAATATATCATTCTTAAAACCATAATGGACATAATGAGAAGAAACAAGCGATATAACTGTAAAATATATCTCACTCTTTAACTCACTCTTCAACCCTTGAATAACAAGAAACAAGTGTGATAAATGAGTAATATGTCTCATTCTATAATCTTCGATGAGACAAAAGAAGCGCAGCAAATGGTAAAAGGGATGCTAGGATATTGTTGAGCATGATAAAATTTTGAGCCACCGAACTCAGGATTTTGGGTCACTGACTAAACATTTTAGACGATATAACTCTGATTTCAGGTAAAATGACTTTTTAAAATTTTTTTAATTTCATTTTTTATTTTTTGGGGAAAATGACTTTGGGGCGACTTGACCATAAACCCTAGATTCAGAAGGCATGATAGTACTCTTGTCCAATAGCACAGAGCTTGTGGAGAGATCCATCAGTTTAGGGTGTTTTAATAAAAAGTTACCCAATGGGCGGGCAACAATTTTAGAGATAAGTGAAAAGGAGGGTTGAAAAACCTTCACCACTGCTTGGTGATAGGCGTGAATATAAAAGAAAACAAAGTCATTGTGCTAAACACAGTGTTTTGCCAAAATTTGACAGTAAGAACTTGTGAAACCCCAAAATTCTTAAGCGTTGATGTTTTTGAAGATAAGAATAAAACTTCAAGGTGTTTAATGGAGCATTTCCCTGGTTTTTGTAGTGGAGTAACTTCTCCTAAAACCAATGTTTACAACTTCAGAGGAAAACAAGACCATTTTGTGAACCGATCGGGATTTCCTCTTGAGGAGAATTTCACCAAAAATGAAAGTTAAATAATTGGCTAATGATGATCTGTTACATGTATTTGAGGCTCTGCCATACATCTCTCTTTGATGTTGTTCCAACTCCTGATGGCAGTGCACTATCCTACAGGCAAAAATATGAGTTACTGAGTAAATTGTCCACTGAAGGAGTCTGAGAAGGTGACTTTTTGATCACCAGGGTCGGGTTGTTCAAAGCTGGGTTAAGATAACCTATGGTTAGTGCAAAATTTTTATTCAGATAGGAAAGCTTAGAAAGCAAATTCAGATGAAACCTTTTTGTCTACACTTTTATGATTGGATAAAGGAAAGAGAAAATTATTCAAGAAAATGCTTTTGAACAAAAGAAAAAGACAACGGGATTAACATTTAACCCTGGGTTGGCACTTATTGGTCTTCAAAACAACTGGGCACTGGCCTTTGTCACCCTCGGGAGTTGATTTAGCTGGCTAACTTTAAATTACTCACTTCTTTCTAGTTTTCTGTTGGCTTGCGAAATTTCCTATATATGGTCTGTGTTGCCATGGCATCATTTGCTGAGGGTTATCATAAACACAAAACAAGCAGTGTGGCACTTGCTGCAATATCCTTCCTGAACAGTGGCAAGTACACAGTGAATCCTGAGATGAGAGCAAAGCAGATAGTGGATGTTACGCAGAAGACCAACATGGATTTTTGCAAAGCTTTTTGGAGTTTAACTGAGGGTTTTGGAATCCAGGTTAGTCATTAGACCTTTTAAGAAAAATCTTAAGAATACAGAGCAATGGGGTATGGCAAGGGGGCAGGTCTTTGGTTGCCTATGTAAGGTGCAAAGAAAGTCAGTTTTACAGCTTGCCATTCAGGCATGCTGTAGCTAGTATGTACTAGCTCGAGAGTCATTTAAGCTTGCCCCCAAAACGTTTTTTGATGAGCAGGATTGATTACAATTCTTCTGTAATTTGAATTCCCAAAAACCTTCTATTGCCTGTTGGGCAAGTTAAGAGCTGAATAAATTATTCACTAGCGCGATAGCAAAATCCAATAATCCTGGGCCATCAGACACAACTGTCTTTGTAGACTGCTATCATGAATACTCTCTTGGTTAAAAAAACTTAGTCTATACAATGGCCATCTTAGAATCAGAGATATGTGGCCATGGCAGAGAGGTAGTATGTGGATATAACCTTTGTGATGGACTCTAGAGATCGCCAAAGATAAGGGCAAGCGGTTAAGGACAAATCTAATAAACACTGAAGGCAAAAAGAAGCAACCTTGCTGTTAATGAACCCCCCTATATACTCTCAGAGACTTCTTGTGTCCAATTGTGCTGAAATTCTTTTATTATGTTTTAGCATGTTCCCTTGTTGGTTTCTTCAGCTATGAAGGTGAACAGGGTATTCTTTATCCCGCCTGAGCCATTTGAACTCAAACAGGCCAGTGGTGAGACAGTAACTATTGCCCCACCCTGTTCATGGTCAGGTCTGGCACCAGTTCAAGTGCGCCTGTTGTCATCTGAGTGGCGGAAGGGTCAGGTACAGTATGATCTTAATTTTATTTTAATCTCTTTCATGGGCTTTTTAACAGCAGCAGGAAGTTAAGTGTGCCATTTTAGAGGCTGCCTCTGTCTATAAGGCCATGCAACAAAACAGAAAGCTTTCCGTACTTAAAGAACCTCTTTGCATCTGTGATTTTGAGGTCATCTAAGGGAACAGTCTTGTTAGTGAAGTTAGACAACTGGACATCCTGTGAAAGTGATTATTAGGTTTTGTCATATTTTAAGTTGCTAAATGAATACTAGTACATTTACATTTTAAGTTATAAATATTGATGAAAGTACTTTATGGATATTGTTTATATTTTCCAGAGTAAGGATGGTACCACACACCATGGACAATCACCAAAACCAAAAAGTGATGGTCTGTTGGTTCATGTTCATGGCGGCGGGTTTGTGGCCCAGTCATCTAAATCACATGAGGTACAACACGTGCTATATTAATCAATGGTTCACACAGGCCTTTAAAAGTCCTTGAGAAAACACTTGGTCCCTGGATGTCCTTGAAAACTCAATACTTTTAACCCCAAAAGCCTTTGAAACTTAATGAAGCCGCTGTAAATAAATTACACAGTGTTAAACCCTTCAGGTCTTAATAGTGACCAACATCAATTTTCTCCTCACAACATCAGCAGATCAACAAGAGTAAAGGTTATGAGAATTACTAAATTGATTACCAAAGGGAGAATGCTTTGATCGTAAACCAAATTCTCTCAACTATTCTTAAAAGAAATGTATGGAGATCAGTCTGGAGAATTTGTTTGTGGATCTTGGGGCTTTTAAAAGGGTTCAAACAGCCTTTCATGGCCCTTCTCAGCCCTTCTTGGAGAGCTAAATCCTACCCACATTTCTGTAATGATTTGGGTGTTGACAAAAAAATGGATGCAATCTGTTTCTTAATATTTTTCCCATTGCGTTTGTCATTACAGTGTACATCACAGTTTAGAAGTTATTTAAACTTATGATTGCACGAAAACCAATATATCTAGGAAAATGCAAATTTGTTCTAAAAAAACTTGAAATACCCGTACATGTATGTGATCAGTGGTATCCTATTTTATAAAGAATGAATGTTGGCCAATACAAGTTCCAAAATTAACTTAACATCAATGGTAACTTGATAAAAGTTTTTGGTTGTCAAATAGCAAAAATAGTTGCAAAATTTTATTTTTTAACAATAAGACATGAAAAAATTGAATGCTTTGGACATTAATTTTTATGTTCATTTTCCTTAACTATTATCCTTAGCTAGTTTACAAAGAAGCTACAATGTTGGCAGGATGGCACATAAGTTGAGTTTTAGCCAAAAACAAATACGATCTGATCCTCCAATGACTGTTTCAAATACTGGACTGGAAACTTATCCTACTGGCGACTTGACTAGCCCTGTAATTCATGTTGCTATCTCTCAATTTGTAGGCACATTGACAATCCACCACTTAGCCTGCATGGCAGGCATTCAAAGATGAGCTGAAAGGGGATTTTGGGCGTGGGAGAAATGCCAGGGGTGCACGAGGAAGGAGGGACCTCCTTGCGCTCTGCTTGCATTTCTCTTGTGCCAACATCTGCCATGCAAGCTACCAGCCGCTCGCAGTTGTGGACCCTGCAATATACAGAGTGTTTTTATCTTTCAGATGTATCTTCGATCCTGGGCCAAAGAACTGAGTGTGCCTATCTTATCTATAGATTATTCACTCGCCCCTGAGGCGCCCTTCCCTCGGGCGTTGGAGGAGTGCTTCTTTGTTTATGCTTGGTGTTTGAACAACTTCCATCACCTTGGCACTAATGGCAAGCGAGTATGTGTAGCTGGAGATTCTGCAGGTAGGACCATTTGTTCCAGAGTTTATCATCACAGGGTTCATAGAGTAACATATATGTTCCCTTTTCAGTCCACTGGCCTTTGCAAATCTCATGTTGTTAGCTTCAGTTTTGCAAAGGGCAACAGTGAATTGTAACCATCTTCCACTTTTGTGGCATTTATTAACTGGTGGTATGGCTACCATGTTTGAAATTGTAAAAACCGTAATGGCTGCCCAAATGTAGCTTGTGAAGAAATTACTTTGTGAGTCGTACAAGATTAAAACTCCAAAAGCACGTAGTCTTTTAGCTGGCTCAAGCACCATTTTTTCTGTTTGTGTTCACTTGCAATAAGTAGTGTCTTTTCTCAACACTGGTGCAATGAGCCACAAAAAGTTTAGTGTAGGACGCTGACCTTGAGAGTCTGAATGGGGTTTGCTGTTCATTCAGTGTTATTTGCCCTTTTTGTTTACCTTCTTGTTTTAGCTACAAATGATATTATCAATTTAAAATGTTAGAAAAAACTTAGCATTTAAGTGTCTGGAATTAATATTGTTGAAGTAATGTGGGTAGCCTTGTCCTAATCTTGATTGCATGATCTTTGCCTATCCCTTAGGTGGTAACTTGTCTGTATCATTGAGCTTGCGTGCAGCGGAATATGGCATTCGAGTTCCCGACTCCATTCTTGCTGCATACTCACCATTCAATGTGCAGTGGGTACCTTCACCATCTCGTCTCCTTAGCCTCATGGACCCACTATTACCCACCGGAGTACTTGGTGCATGCTTAGCGGCCTACTCTGGCATGGGAAAGTCACCATTTGATGACTGCACCAAGAATTCGATCAAATCTCTAACTGGCAAGAGTAGTGAGCCTGTGAATATATCTGATAAAAGAAAGAAGACAAACTCCCTGTTACGTCTCCTCAGAGTGGGGTCTAGGGATAGCAAGCACAGGGAAAACAGTTTTTTGGAAGCAAGCCCACAGGCAAGCGGCGAGAGTTTCCACAGCTGTTTAAGCTCACCACAGTCTATAACTCGAAACAGTGAGATCATGTTTGATCCAAATGAAACTTCTGTTTGTCATAGTAGCCCTAAGCACTTGCCGCAGTGTAATGGAATTCTGCATTGTCAGGAGAATTTCAACTCTGAAATGCCCGAACACAATGAAGACAGAGAGCATGGTGGGGACAGTTCCTCTACTTCATCGGAGCATTCACAACATCCACAGTCAAGAAAACACTCACATGACAGTATACCAAGCCAATCATTAAGCCCTCAGAGGAGTAAACATGGCCGAGGGGATGACTCAGAGCACATAGCAGTGCACTACCATAGTGACATAGAGGAGTGCCATGTGGTAAATGTTGTAGAGTCATCAGGTAGCCCCAGCAAAGAGCTCCTACTTTTTCCTGTGGATGTACCTGAAGATGAGCCCTACCTGGAGGTGGGGACACCACAGGAGGGGGACCAGGGAAATGTTGTAGAGTCATCAGGTAGCCCCAGCAAAGAGCTCCTACTTTTTCCTGTGGATGTACCTGAAGATGAGCCCTACCTGGAGGTGGGGACACCACCGGAGGGGGACCAGGGAGTGGAACACACAGAAGATACTCATGATAGGACCACATCTATGTCCCAAGTGTCTTTGCCTATTGCTAAGAATCCTTATATGTCTCCTCTTCTGGCGTCTGATGAAATGCTGAGAAGTTTGCCTCCAATTGATTTAGTGGTATGTTTCTTCGATTTTACTGTGCCATTGTGATCGCCCCTTAGTCTTAGCAGCCACTTGTCCAATCTTTAATGATGGACACTTAAGCCCCAATATCCACACAAAAAAACCATACAGACCTATTTCCATGAGAGAATTTGTTTAAGATCAAAGCATTTTCCCTAAGGGATCATTCCATAGACCAATTCGGCTAACTCAATGTTGTACCCAATTCAGATCTCTCGGGGTTAAGATTCTTTGTGCACTGTATTTGGATTATAAGGTGGCATTCACATTTAAATGATATGGAAATTCCTGAAACAAAAAGTTTTATTCCCAATGGGTTTGAATTGGGTACAACATTGAGTTAGCCAAATTGGTCTATTCCACCTTTTCTTTTCATATGTATTAATGTTATTAGGAGAACATTGATGTTGGTCACTCTTGAAACTCAAGAGTTAATAGTCAGAGGTTTGACTGTATTTTTTTCCACTACAGGCGTGTTCATTGGATCCCATCTTGGATGACTCAGTTGAGTTTGCACGAAGGCTTCGCTCCTTGGAAAAGGATGTGGAACTTTACATCTTAGAAGATTTACCTCATGGATTTCTGAGCTTTCATCTTGTCAGCCAAGATTCTAGGGAGGGAAATGAACTATGTATCGTCTGCTTAAAGAGAAGTTTATCTGGAAAGCGAAAAGGAACTGTGGAAAAGCCCCCAGTGTACTAAGTGTTTAAGGTAATGGTAAACTGCATCAAAGGGCTTTTGCCTGGTAAAACACGTTGTCTTTAGTTATTTTTCTTAAGGAGAATCGCAGGACATTCCAGAATTATAAGGAAAACATTCTCCCACACTTGGAGTTTAATGTATGCAGGTCAAAGCAGCCACACTCAAGTTTGTTTCATTCAGTTCTAGCAATGCACAGAGCATCTTTTTCGCAACAAATGTTATGGCTGCTCTTTTGATTGGCTGCATTATCATGAGGCTAAGAAACCGAAAACCTTCATGTACAAGCAGTAATCTTGGAAAGAAGCAGCCACTCTCTCTGACAGGCACTTTTATTTTTTCCTGAGGTTTAAGGCTGCATTCACTCACCAACAGACATGCAATTTCATAATTTTTTTGGAGGGGGGAGTTCAAGGCCTTATCCCATAGGAAGAAGGCTCGTTATAACTGTAGTAAAAAGAAGGGGCACTTTCCATTCAAGCAAAACATCTGGTTTAAATTTTCTGCAACTTCCAGTAGCGAACAGAACAGTATTTTCCAAAATTTCTGACAAAGAGGACAACCTTGTGAGGTATACCAAAATTTTCAAAATTTTTTTTTCTTGGAAGTTTTCTTTCCACTCAGCTTGGCTCCCAGAATTTCTAACCGTTTTAGTTGAATGGTTCACATTTCGGAAATTCAACAGTTTTTGCAATTTCTGGAAATTTTCTGTACTATTTGTTGCTGTTTCCAAATTTTTGAAAGTTTTGATTGAATGTAAAGCACCATAAGTGTTAAAAATTATTTGAGCAAAATCCTGTAAGGTGGGATTCAAAACATGCAGTTGTAAGCCAGGGGAGAAAGACAACTAAATAATAATGAAAGAGGCAAAGTACATGTAGTTTAGGATCAGAGAGGACAGCAGCTTTTGACAGGTATTCTTGTTTCACCTTTACAGCCAAAAGCACTTTCATGAATGGATTAAAGCAGTCCCCCATGGTAAATTTCACAAGCTACTTAGGCTAATAGCAAAGTTATTTGCGTTAGCATGGACATTTTACACAATTTTCTTAACCTCCAAGACTGGGAGTTGTACATTTCATACCAAATGTCCTTCTTAATCTGGCACTGCTTATCCTTGAAAGTCCTACAAGATTTCATGTTTTTTGAGGAATATTATAGCAATGAGCAATGACATGCTTGAGCAATGAGCAATGACCATGAGTTTCAGAAGATCTAGAATAATGAATTTTGCATATCAGTACCCCTTGCAGGCAAGGATTGCTTCACTGACTTATACAGTGAAATTTTAGCATCAATTTTTCAAACCTTATTTTGTATTCTGCACACTGTTGTTAGAAATATTTTTCCCCCGTTAATGCAATACTATCAAATTTTGGGGTGAGAGGTGGTATTTTTTCTATGGATTTATCTTTGGGTTGCTACTGTACAAATTTGGGTCAAGTACACTTTTATTTAATGATACAAAGTGAATGTAAACAAGTATGCGAAGTTTTTGTGTTTGAAATGCTGAAATGACTTTATTAATTTAATGCTTAATGGAACTATACATTGCAAACAGGAAATAAAGCAATATTTCATGAAAGAAGAATGAATTGTGTTTTAGTCTTTTGGTTCAAGGCCATTGATATCATCTCCTGAAATTTTTGCTGCCTCTATAAAGAATAATTCAGTTTGTTCTGTCTGCTGGCTCACCGAAGCCAACATTTTGCCGGTATTTCACCGTTTTTGTTCAAGATTGTTCATTAACTGTTCTTGTAACAACTTTGTTATTTGTTGCTTTCCTCTTGGCTGTGATTTCTTTTGACTCTCCAACTTGACAGTATCTTGTAGTCTTGCCAGCGTTTCCTGGTATTTGTCCACCATCGATTGAAGTTTGTCTTCTTTTATGTTATATTTTGGGATCTTTTCACGCCCAGTTTTTTTTATCAGTTCTCTGAAATGATGTACCTCTTCACTGTGTAAAAGTGTGATGGCAGTACCTGGTAAACATAAAGAAGCAAAAATACACAATAAACTTGAATAAAAGTTTTCTGGTAAGTACAAAAAGCAAAAAAAAAAAAACCAGTATATTGGCCAGGAAATGACCTTTGAACACTTAAAATGACAACCTTAGCTTTGAAGTTATTCCTTTAGTTTAATTTCACTTGACTGCCATTGAGCTATTGTCTGATGTGTGTGATATCCAGCAGTCAGCTTGGAGTCCTGTGTAGTATAGTACATACCTTTGTTCCCAGCTCTTGCCGTCCTACCCACACGATGAATATAACTCCTGATAAAGTTGGGCACATCATAACTGATCACAAACAACACATCCTCTATGTCCATTCCTCTTGCCATGGCATCTGAGCAGATGAGAAGCTGAACTTTGCCTGATCGGAAATCTCTGAGGACCGCCTTACGCTGTTGTGGTGTCAAACTAGAGGAGTATTCGGCAACTTCTACTCCACCATAGAGCTTGACAAGAAGATACAGTCTGTTGAAAATAAAAAGATTTCATTTTTGGTTTGTGGTCCAAAGCAGACAGTTTAGGCTGTCTTGCCTACAGGTAGGAAAATAATATTTAAATCAAACCCTGCTTAGTACGGACAGGTTTGTTAATTTCTGGGCAAAGAAATTCAACCTGCTTAATATGGACACCATGTTAATACCAACAATTTCTATGGCCCTCTTAGAGTCCACATTAACAGTATTGACTGTAATAACAATTTTCGCTCTGACCCTGAGATCTGAACTCTATCTTCCTGGGAAAAAGAGTGCACAAGAAGAACCAGTTTAAAAAAGAATGCTTACTAAATCCACATTGGGGCAACAGAAGAGCAAAGCAAAATACAGGTCTATTTAGATTTTATCATCATTGCAATTCTACAGTCACTAATTTTTGGAGCTCCAACTTTTTTTCACCTTGTGTTACACCCACAATTAAATGTACTAAAACCTCCTCAACAGTACATGTACTTTTCACAGGATGCAATATTAGCATTTTAGTATTTTAAAAAATTTAATTTTGGGTCAAAAACTTTCTTTTGAATACCTATGGTGGAACCCAAACTCCTTCCCAGGGCTCTCTCCTATCCATCGCTCTGTAGGGATGGGTAGGAGAGAGCCCTGGGAATGAGGTTGCCAAGGGACTGACAAAATTTGAAGCTATAACGAGGTTTTATTATATTGAGGTTCTTTTCCATATATCTCACTATTACTGTGGAAAAGAAAATTGTTCCTTATTCTGAGGACTTTGTTATATAAAGGTTCATTTGTTGTATCAAAGGTTCTACCGTATTGCAATGGTAAATTTCAACATAGTCTGTGACTGCAGATGTATTTCTGGTTGTTGCTTCTCTCTGCCCAAAAAGTAATGTACAGCTGTAAGAGTAAAACTGTTCACAGCTAACAATTTGTACAACACAGAACTTGCTCAGTGGCATGGGTTGCACATGTTAATTTGATCCTTTAAGCCCCATCATTAACATGTATCTTCTCCACACTGTTCTTCATACATTCCTTATGGTACTGCTGGAGAGAATTTGTTCTAACATCACAACATTTCATATTTGGGGATCATTTCATTCATTCTCATGACCTGTCTGTTTGATCAGGCAGTGTTATTGTTGGGAGAAATTGGATGTGGGTCACTATCGGAACAAAAAAGGGTTAAAGGTGCTAACAAGCCAAGTGACAACTAGCATCATGTCTGCTTTTGCAGGCTGGTGTTGACCTACTGTACCTGTGTGTAGCTTCCAGTGATGATGCAAAACACAAAACTCGCTGAAACCTGAGCTGTGTTAAGAAGTACAACACTGCCAAGGGTTTTTCTCCACTGTTACAAACTGTCATGTATTCTGTCAGGCCCTCTGGAATGCTGTATCGCACTGAAGTGCCAGAGGGGTCTGTGGAAACTAAGAGATAATGACACGTCAAGGCTGTCATTAAGTTTTGAAGCAACAGTAGCAAATTAATTGATAACACATATTACTATTAGTGTGCTCAGGTGTCACTGGCCTTAGAGGTCTCGATCTGCATGTCACGCTGCTATTCCTCAGTAAACAAATACGTATTTTCATAGCACTGAGGCTATCCCAGTTTTTTTTTTTTTTTCCTTTTTTTTTTTGCCCAAGCACTACTACATCTATACCAATAAAATACTACTACAAGTACACAAAATCAACTTCCTCCTATCCATAAATAATGGGTGACACAAAAACAGTTTAGGTAAAATTACTAATATAAAAAAATACTACTACAAGTACACAAAATACACTTCCTACTATACATAAATAATGGCTGACACAAAGACTGTTTAGGTACAATTACTACTATAAAATAGGACATAAGTTTTTTTTGCATTCTAATTCTCACTACCTGACAGACATTTTGTTAAGTCTCTCAAGAAGAGTACTGACACTTGCTAGTGTTTTAACCAGATAAAGTTACTGTTTAAGGGTGTCCTGGACACTTGCATCTATAGTGCTCAATACAGTTGCCTCTTTTGTTCTAAACATCTTTCTATGGCCCTGCAGTAGACAATAAATTGGCAGAGTGCACAAGAAAATAGCCTACAAATGACTCCTGATCTGATTCCAAATTCTCATTCTGTTTTACAAACATTCATGTGTTTAAGGAGAATTGCAAAGAGAATCTAACAGTTAGCTGTCAAACTCAGAAAACTGTAAATTTATACCTGAATTATTTCAGGATAGTTTATTGTGTTGTATCCAATCACTAAAAGGATCAAGGCACATAAGCAAGCCACAAATACACAAACTAATTACTGTTGGTCCTTGCAATTTAGTTTTCTCATACCTGATTGGCTTTAAATTTCCTTCAACACAATAATATTCCAAAAATACTTCTGGCGATCATGTTTTTCTGAGTTTCACAGTAAAGAAGTCTTCCGGTAGTGAGGTAACAAAACCATTGAAACCCAGTACACCTCAACTACCTTTTCCATTTTGTGTGCATGGACAGTTTTTAAAAAACCTAAGTAAAGTGAAGCTGAAGTTCAAATTCTCCCTTATTTCATGTGCAAATTCACAGCAATGTGAAGGTGCTAATTATTGGTCAGAAGTCATGTGGGGCTTTGGGTTCAATTACTAACCACTTTTGCAAGAAATAGTGCCAAGTACATATTTCAGTCAGCATTTATTTTGGTACTGTATTAACTGCCAAATACCTGAAGGAGAAACTCTTTGGTCTCTCTGATTGACATTTCCCATACCAGTAAACAACATTGGTTGATAAAGCTGTAGTGGAGCAAGTTTTTCTGGGCTGTGGGTCATTGTTGCAGAGAACAGCAGTTTTTGCAGAGGCAGCTGAATGGTACTGAAACTTGCAACCGTCTGCTGGCCAGGGGGATTCCTGACTGTTTGAAGGTTACAAAATATGGAGCTAAATGCATGAAAAAGACAAAAAATATGAGATCCTGTACCCTAGACCAGTCAAGAGGCTGGGTAGTTTCCATAGCTCAAAATGGCATACCTGTTTAGTGTCAGAAAAAGAAAATAACAGAAGGAAAAAGGAATAGTTAACTGAACACAAAAGGCCAGACCAGAATAGTCAAGTCCTGTCTATGGTTTACAGCAAGCAATTTCTCATCACTGGTCCACAAGGTATAATACTTTCCATGTAGCTTTGAGAATTATAGACACTGATGGACCTTTCCTTGACTAATGACTTGACTTGTATACCCGGGGAGGGGGGCGGTACTGCCATATATAGGTATGTGCCACTGTGAAGGGTATGGTTTTTAAGCAGTTTACTCTGGGATAGGGTATATAAATCAGAGCGTTTGGGTCTAGAAGAGGGTATCATTTTCCATTTAAACTGATCAATTCGCTGAAGATTTTAGTCTAGACTAGGGAAACCGGGAATTACCACTCAAGAATATAAAAAAATCAAATCGCTTTTGTTTTGGCTGGACTGTGCTAGTGACCTCACTTGTTTCTGGAAAACAGCTACTCTAGGATAGGGGGAAATTTGGGGAGTTTAGTCTAGTATGGGGTAGCAAAATTCACTTGAAGTAACTCTGGTATAGGCTAAGGGTTCCAGGGTCCCAGCAGCACATCCCCACCCAAAAAGTTCTTGTGTGTCTGCTTCCTTGTGCGTTACTACTGAACAGAGCACAGTCAAGGCTTCTTTGTTGGTGAAATAAATTTTTTGGGATGCCTGTACCTGTTGTTACTGATGGGACCTTCTGCAGTATATTGCTTGTTATATGCAGCTTTGAGAACTTTTCCCAGCCAGCCATGATAGGACTGATCTAACAATCGATCTGCTTCATCAATCACAAGAAACCGTACGTGATGAAGAACAAAGTGTGGAGTAGATGTGATGTGATCAACCAGTCTTCCAGGAGTACAGACAAGTATATCAACACGGCTGCTACCTCCAACAGAACTGCAAAACACAGTGACAGGTGTGTACATGTGACATCACGGCAATGAATAATGTTACATGTAAGTTCATCCTTTACATACAAATTCTTTCCTTGAAGAGGAAAAGGGGAGGTTCCCTTGAGGGGCGGGGGAGGTATTGTAGATCATCCTCTGAAAACAGCATAGAAGCCCTATATGCTACAATTTGTATGAGAGGCAACCTCACAGAGCCCATCCTCAAAAATAGAGCCTGTTCTGGGTTAACCTTGCACTAATTTTATTTAGCCTCATTTCAAATGAAAAACCTATTTCACGTGGCTAAATTAATTTAGGCAAGGTTAAAATCACTGACCAGCTGTCTCAGGCATTTGCAAGGCTCTAGTGACTTTCCAGTGCTTTTGCTAAGGTCAATCATTTCACTCACAGCGGTTGTCATGGATACCTTCCGCCGCTTGTTTGTGGCACCTCAGTTTGTTCAGGCACCTTTCCCCCACTCCAACTATTGGTGATGGGTTTAAATTACAGTGTGACTGGGAAAACCGCCAACAGTTGAAATATCTCAGGAATTTTTATTGTGTTATGACCAATCACAGTAAAGACTGGCCACAAAACAAAAAAACTAGTTAACGTTCTTGCTTGCGGTATAGTTTTCTCACACCTGATTGACTTTTTCCTTGCAAGACAATAGCATTCCTGAGATATTTCAAGTGTTCAAGGTTTTCCCTGGTGCACTGTAACATCATCACTCAAATTTTATTAGGCTCGACTTCCGCCGTCTCCTGGGTTAGTCAATAATCCTCCATGAAGAGATACTCTTTCAAGGGGAAGAGTGCAGGCTCATTTTCACAAACAGTGGCTGGAAATCGAGCCTGAAACTTGATAACATAAAACAAAGTATAAAAGAAACTCACCCATGATTAACAAGCTGTTCCTGGTCTTTTAAAAACGATTTTGATCCGGAAGCCAGACCCACCTTTAACTTTGTTTCTTCTGTAAACATTTCAAAAACCTGTTTGACCTGATTTGCAAGATCTTTGGTTGGAAGTATGACTAAGGCTCGCAAGTGGCACACAACTCTTTGAAGAAGGCTTTGTATGATGGGCAATACATAAGCCAGAGTTTTACCACTTCCTGTAGGAGCAGACACACAGATGTCACTAGGTTGGTAACCACCCCTGCCAAAAAAGCTGTAATTTTCCATCTGTGACAAAATAGAAGGGATCACAGTGCTCTGTACAGGAAATAAGTGATTTATATCATGCTTTTGCAGTTTATTAATTATAAAAGGATCTAGGTAAGGAATTTGTTCCACTGGAAGAATAGCACTTTCAAAGTCTGAGCTTATAATTACAGGGTTTGCAATCCACTTGGGTAACATCCTTTGCACCTTTTTTGCTTCCTTGACCTTCTTATGTCCACCAATAACAGTAAATCCTGTTTCTTTGTTATCTTCTGCTAGCTTTTCTTGAGGGATGTCTAGAGAAATTTCACCATGTTCAACATCTTCTCTTTCAATGTCTGTCTCTTTTTCTACAACCATTTTCACCTCTGAATCAACAGATACCTCAGCTTTTCGCTCCACATGATCTTCTGCAGTAACACCTTTAATGGTAGACGTCGTGTTCCGTTTTTTCTTAGATTTCTTTTCCTTCCTTTTATTACCATTTTTCTCTCCTGAATTTTCAGACAAAGAGTCTGAACCAACAAAAATATCAATATCGTCATCTAAAGCTTCTGTAATTAAGCTGTCCGTCGAAAGTTTCTTTGCCTTAATATTGTTTTTAGAACCTTTCACCTTGTTCTTTTTTGGTCTTTTTTCCACTGACTCATTCTCCAAAGACGCATAATCATCAGAAACTTCCATGATTGGACATTTTGATGTTGCCTCATCATTGTCGTCATTCAAAGACCTTTTCTTCTTTGATTTGTGCCCTTTTGAGGCGAATTTTGTTTTCTTATTCTTAGCTTTCTCAGCTCCCTCTCCTTGCACTTCCGACAAACGATGCTGAAGGTCCAAAGCCTTCGACTCATTACCAGAAGACACGTGCTTGCCTTCAAGATTTCTCTTTCTTTTTCGATTATCAATGTCGCGTTGCAGTCGTGTCAACCTTAACGATTCACCCTGTTGATTTTCCTGGTCTACACCCTCTCCCATGTACCTCTCTACTCTGAAAAGATCCATTAAGAATCTTATTCTGGGCGCATTTAAGTAGGAAATCTCTTCACGATGTCGTCTCTGCACTAGCAGCTAAATACAGGAATTCCACCGACCTGTGATTGGAAGATAAAAATAGTATGTCAGTGGCGATGACGTGACAATTCGTTACGTTAGCCGTTTCAAGAGTAATGGTTTTTACACGAAAAAGACAGTCCACAGGAAAATACAATGTAATATTAAATATTTCTCAAAGACAAACAGTGCAGTATTCTTTTGAAGTCGGCTGACTCGCTAAGAGTCAATGTCTTATCGAAGTTGAATTCCAACTGTCGCAAATCGGATAACTTCACTGAGTGATTCTGAGATGAAACCTTTTGTCTGCATCCACATTGATCTTAGATTTTACCACTTACATATTGAAGAAAAGCCATAAACAGAGCTTCAATGTCCACGTACACCCGACTGAACCTCGGTGCGATTCCGGTAGGTACTTCATGTATGGGGACATATATTGTACCGCTTTTACCTAATTAACTTATAACTTCACTCTTTCTGCTTGGTTCCTTGTTGCCTTAAAGCTTTGTTCTCTGTTAACTTGTTGCTCTGTTTCCTTGTTTCCTAGTTACTCTGTTTCCTTGTTTCCATGTTACCTAGTTACTCTGTTACCTTGTTACCTTGTTACCTTGTTACTCTGTTACCTTGTTAC